AAATATGGTGTCTGCTCAGATTCCGTCATTAAGCTACGTGCATCAACCAACGGTAGCAGTCGCGCAACCAGTGGCAGTCGCACAACCAGTAGTGCACGCCGCCCCGGTAGCGTACGCCAAGCCAGCTGCTACCAGCTACGCATCATTCCAACAAGTGAGTGGAAATTCCAACCACTTAAAGAATTTTTGTAGAGTTTACATTTTAGATGAACTTTTAAAGGAACTATTAGATTAAGAGTGTTTTTTTTCTCTAAATTGATATAGTTAGACGATTTGACTTTGAACACTGCAAGAAATAGTGATCAAAATCAGTATAGATATCCATATAAGGCTGAGAGCAAAAATAAATCTTGATCTACATGTATACATACGTCGATCACATTTTCAAACTAAATTTTTGAATTTTAGAAAACCAACCAATAGTATTTGTTATCTCATCTGAATATCACTTTACATAAACAGTGTAGAAACAGTACATAACTGATTACTAATATTCACATCAAGTTATTAAATTATAATCATCCAAAAACCAGCAGTCAATGTAGTGAGTCAAAGATGAAATTTCCAAAAGTCGTACTAATTCAAAACTGCTACGCGTTTCGTAGCAACCAAATATTTCGTAGCACGCGCTACGAAACTGAAAATGTAAATATTCTCGTAGTACCTGTACACAATGCTACGGTTTAATCGTTGTTGTGGTCGGATCAGTTGTTTCTAATCAACTTAATTACAAACTTCCGTGTAAGCCGCAAATTCAGTACCACGAATACTGACACGACGGAAAATTTGAATTGCATAAATCGACCTTGTTCTTCATGAAACAAAACACAAACTACTTGGGTCAGATTTAATATTTTTATTGTAATTAAATTGTTATTTCTAGAACCTCTAGCAACTGATCTACTGTTTATCCTACAGATCGTGCACCCAGTGCAAGTCGCCCAACCAGTGGTGCATGCAGCCCCAGTGATCTCGCAGCCTGTGGTCCACGCGGCCCCAGTGGTGCAAACAGTGGCCCAGCACGTCGTGGCTCAACCCGTTGTCCAAACCATTGCCCAACCTGTGGTCCAGAAATACGTGTCCGTGGGATCTTACGGAGGCGGCTATGGTCATGGGTGGTAAGGTCTATAAGGCCCTCTAAAGAGTGTAAATATTTTTCTATAAGCGTTAAGATTGTGTCCGTATTGTTGATGTGGTGCAAAATAAAACATTTCTCATCAGTACTGAATAAGTTTTGTTTTATTTAGAAAAGTTCTACAACCAGTTCGTAATGTGGTACTTTAGATTTTAATGGGTGTCTTAGTGTTTATTGATAAACAATTTTCATGAAGAGAGTGTGATGTAAGTAGTAACTTAGAGGTGGTGGACAGAGGAGTACTTCTGTATACTTATCCAAGCAACAAACTTTTTTATGCACTCAGAGCAAGTGACCTGGCTTCCCCATTTAATCTGTTTAACGGGCTTATCATATTAAAAATACCGACATTAAATGTCAGAAAATATTAACCAAAAGCCCCATTAATGAGTGACAAAATAACCCTTTCTTATTTACACACCGTCACTTTGCCATCGATTGTAATTGACAGGTGAGTACTGAGGGGCAATAATTGAGCATTAGTCGTACTGCTGGGTAGCGTGCTCACCCCCTAACCTAGGTCGATGGCAATCATTAGTGTGGGACCTAAATTGATACCTATTTATATGTACGCCTGTATGTATGTATGTATGTATGTAATTGACGTTCTGTGACTTGCCGTTACCTGAATTTGATAATTTCGTAGAATTAATAAATATACTTAGAGATGGTTTTAGTTCAACCCGCTTTGTAATTCGAATCAAATAGTGATTTCCAAAAGCGAATATAGATTTTCCATTATATCTAGTATAAATAATAAATACATCACCATATCAGCCACAATACAACCACTGCTGAACACAGCCAACCCCCCCCCCCCCAAGCCTATGATACTGGCTACTGTCCTGTTGTAAACGATTGCAACCTTTATTTGGTCGACTATTCACCTCGTGAACGTTTTACGCAGCTCTTATCAGACCGTTACTTAAAACGCATTCGGTCCCTTAATAGAGTATTATCTTAAATTTTATTTGTATGTCCGTCTGGTAGACTCTTTTAAAAGATTAGACACATATTTTTTACAATATTAAATACTTTCGAAGATATATTGATTTGAAATATCGTGTGACGTCACGATTTACTACATTTTATAGGGTAGCGTAACCTCCCACTCCTAAACTTAACTCCATTTTATCTAAGTATTGTTTTCTTATGCGACGAAATAAATAACGTTATGTGGCCAATATTTTATCATTATCTAACTGACGGACTAATTACATTTTTAATTTTCATATACTGTCTATTCTAGTCTCTACCTACCCTATTCTAGTCTCTGCGATATACAAAGTTTTTTTAAACTAAAATCTAAAAGTTAATTTATGTAATTTAGTTTTAGTTCGATATCTTTATGGCCATTTTCATTATCACAAATGCCTAAACTTTTTCATATGCGGTATGACTGCACGGTTGGCGCGGTGTTTGGGCAACTGACTGCCGCGCAACGTGTCGCGGGTTCGATTCCCGCACGGAACAATTCTTTGTGTGATCCACAGATTGTTGTTCCGGGTCTGGGTGTCATGTGTATGTGAACTTGTATGTTTGTAAACGCACCCACGACACAGGAGAAAATCCTAGTGTGGGCAACGTTTTTTAAAAACAAACTAGCGATCCGCCCGTCTTCGCACGGGTGCAATAAGCATGTATTATACATATAAACCTTCATATAAATACTATCAAAAATACCGCACCAAAATCCGTTGCGTAGTTTTAAAGATCTAAGCATACATAGAGACAGACAGACGGCGGATAGCGACTTTGTTTTATACTATGTAATGATAATGATAATGTATAGCCTATTTAAATAAAAAGTCAAGTTAAACCGCCTAATCTTTATATAAATTTTATAATAGTAGCCAGAAATAGTGATGTGCTAAGAACATATAGGGTATATAGGTTTTGCAACTGTTAACACATAACATAACTTTTTATATATATATGAAGATGGGACTGACGTTTGACCACCATCTCGCGTAGTGGTAAGCGATGATGTGGTCCACGTTGGAGCACGTCGAACCACGAGCAACTTATTCACTCGGGCCTTTAAGACTCCCAGGTTATACCCTTCGGGAAATAAATAAATACAGGAAATACTATTATGTTATATAAAGCGCATATATGAAATGCAGTACATACTTTTTGCTGATTAGGTTATGATTTACATTTAACAGAGGACGAGTTTTATTTAACGGGTTTAATTACATACTGTGGTCGCAAGTCTGCCGGGCAAGAGGTCTTCGGTTCGATTCCCGGGTCGAGCAAAGTAATACTATATTTTTAGAAAATTCTCAGTAGTAGCATGGGGTCTGGAATTGTGTCCGGTAAATGGCAATAGGCTTACCCCCTATTACATGGCATTCGTAACATAAATAGTGAAAAGTGGGTGTTACACTGTACAGTAGCATTAAGTGTCGTAATGTGCCTATCCCTTCGGGGATAAATGTTACGTTATATTATTCTACCCTACAGTCCATCAAAATCGTAGAAAAAAAAATCAAATCAAAAACGCGATATAAAACTGCACAAACTTACATAAGACATTTTCCTTGACTACTGCAAGTAGTATATAAATCCATTTGACCTTGATACGGAGCGAGCATAAAAACAAAATATACAAAAACAATAAAATCGAATATTGTGTGTAAACATTGCACAGCCAGTACTCGATATCTCGTATCGTGAATAGAACATAGTTTACGACATCGTTGAATCGATATCGGAGCGAGTGGCACATCACTAGCGATCGCGTGTCGTACGGCACATCACCACTGTCCTGAGAACCAGGTAAATATGTGACTATGCTTTCCGTTAATAATAGGACAGAGTCGGTCATTAAGTAAAATTAAACACAAGTTCAAGTGTGGGAGAGCCATGCTTCGGCACGAATGGGCCGGCTCGACCGGAGTGATACCACGGCCTCACAGAAAACCGACGTGAAACAACGCTTGCGTTGTGTTTCGTCGTGTGAGTAAGGTTACCGGAGGCCCAATTACCCCCCCCCCCCCCTTCCCAAATCTCCAAAATCCTAATAATTTTGCATCAAAAGGTTAGGAATAAACTGGAATACATCTAGTGGTGAACCGAGGAAACGACGACCCTCTACTTTTATACAACAATTATCGTGGGTCTACCTAACCAGTGGCCTGCCCACACTGCGTCCGATTTATAGTCTATTCTATTAAACACATTATATCTGTAGATTTAAACTCTCGAAGGAATGGGTGATACACAGGCAACCCGACTGATTTTATTTTACACAGAAGGAAATTCGAAACGCTGTACTATTTTGATGACGATGATAATTTTATTAATCGAAATACACATCCTTTCGGCAGTCGGTTAAAGACTTGGTACAACGTTATCAAAGTAATTATCAGTCACTACTTTTTTATTTTTCCTCAATTAAAAATATGGCTTCCATGAAAGTCCCACAATAACACAAATCATAGTCACCATATTGGAACCATAGACACGTTTCAGTAGCACAGCAAGCTTTCAGTAAACTAAACGTGACCACAGCGCGGTATAGCCTAACTTATATCAAATGACGATCGAATCACATAAATCGCTATCCATTGACGCGTTTCAACTAACATGATTACACAGTAATGGTTTTAAAACAGCAATGTACTAAAAATAGCAGCAAATAATAAATTAGATATTCGTGGATACGGATTTTTTATGTGAAGATTCTATTGAACGATTTTATGTGAAACCTTTTGAAGTATTAATTACATTAATTCTAAATTTTAATATATTTTGTGTTTGTTTGAGTCAAGTGACATATTTAAATAAACAGTGCAAGAGTTTAAAAGTTGACAATGAAACTGTCGATTCTGTTTGATTTTGAATTGGTGAAACATTAAACATGAATGCGTGGTCGGGGGAAGATGGTGACGTTATGGGCCCCACAGTCACACGTAAGTAATTGTTATTTTTATGTGACAAACCCGCCACAGCCTCCCTAAACCGCTGCAACTCCTGTAAGCCAGGATCTTTAGCAGATACAAACATAAAAACACTGGAACACTAAAGTCCCGTGTGTCGTAGGGACATGAATAACTGCTCTTAAATATTTTATTTTTCTTTCTTTATTTCTATCTTTCTTTCTTTCTTTCTTTTGGATCCCGCAACGAAAGAAATCAAAGATATCATTAGAGGAGAAGTAAAAACGACTTTAACTATACGTAAATGTAGCAAAATTATACTTATTATCATATCTTAATAGCTTCTGCCCGCGGCATCGCCAACGTCCTGTGTGATAATAAGTACCCTGTGTGTTATACCAGACCATAATATATACATGTTCCAAATTTCATCCCGATCTGTTCAGCTGTTTTAACGTAATTGAGTAACAAACACACACACACACACACACAACACACACCGATTTTCAAGGGCCGATTTTATAATCATTAGATAATTGTTAACTGTAGAATTAGAATTGACATTTGACAGTTTTTAGTATCGAATATTGTCAAATATTCAAAGTTATTCCTTAGTTAAAATTGGTTGAGTTGGAAAAATTCGGCCCTGAGACACAAACTAACAAACTTTCGCATTTACAATATTTGTAAGATGTAAGATTATTGTTCGTCAATATGTATAATCTTTATCTCTTATTCTTATGAAGTCCGTTTTCGCATCTATCAGCATTCATGAGTCTACTACTGAGGAGTATAGAAGTAGTAGTAGAACCCCACATTTTTTTAAAGAGTAACGATTTTTTTTTAAAAAGAATAACAATTGAGTTTCTTTTTCGTTCTTCTCCATTCGGATCTACACTTTGGAATGAGCGCCTAGCTTCACTTACAGACAGACGTACGGACAATTCAATATTTGACGTTTCAAAAGTGCCTATTTAAGGATTAATTGAAATGAATGCTTTGACTTTGACTTTGACCTCTAGCAATAGCTGCATTTGCCATAATTTCAAATAGAAATCGCAGTTTAAAATAGATCAGGTTTATCAGAGAGCGCTGCCACCTGTTCTGTGGTACTTACGTTGTGTGGTACTGCTAAAAATATTTCCCTTGAGCGTGAATAGGTTTAAGGTCCGATATGTGACCACACACGACACCCATAGGAATAGTAGACGTGGTTATATTCTACTCTGCCGTCGACACACGCTGAAATAACCACTTACAACGACTTTACTTACACAATTAACCAACAAGGCCATACTTGAAATGTCTTAAATACTTCCCAAGTAAAATATGGTAATGCCTCATACAATTCTGGCGCATACTTGGCTCACAAAGCTTTTTACTTAGGAATCGTAAATCACATACATACCAGCCCAGAGAGATGGTATCAGGGTACCAAGGTAGGTACTTAAGTACTTGACCATGTTGGCATAATTTGAATAATATTTTCCAACCGAACATCGTAACTCAACAAGGACAAACAAACATAAAAAATCTACCTACCATTGCTATATCTATTGCTACACAGCTTGTATTGTAATTTTAACTAAAATCAAGATCTTTACTTGTACCTAGCTGACTCGGCAAAATTCGTATCGCCTCAATTTTTTTCTCATCCATTAAACCTTCTTTGAATTTTCACGAACATTTCAAGACCAAAATTAATGAAAATGGTTCAGCCGTTCTCGAGTTTTAGCTAGACTAACGAATGGAAATTCTTTTTTATTTATTTGGATACACATAAATATAATACGGTAATTTGTTTATGAGCGGTGTTAATGTAGGTAATTTCATGTATGTACTTGGGCACCAATGAACCAGCTCCATCGAAGTGATATCACGGCGTCACATAAGCCCGGAGTGAAATCACACTAGCATTGTATTTCACCGACTCACTTGTTGGCCGAGTGGTCGCAAGTGCGACTGCCGGGCAAGGGGCTCGGGTTAGATTCCCGGGTCGGGCAAAGTATTAGGTACTAGGTTTTTTAAATAAATTCTCAGTAGTAGCACGAAGTCTGGAATCGTGCCCGGTATATGGCAAGAGGCTTACCCCCTATTACATGGGACTGATAACATAAATAGTGAAAAGTGGGTGTTAAATTGTACAGTAATGTGCACCACTGCCTAGCCCTTCTGAATAAAAGGCGTGATGTTATGTTATGTTATGTGAATTTCATCGGAATGTAGTCAATGTTTAAAAATATACCGTTACGTATCGTATAGATAAACTGCAGCTCAATTAAGATCATAGACCGCTCCGCATGCTATCCAGTAACACATGATACTGTGTTAATAACACACGCATTGTCAAATTAAAAAAAAAAAACAAAAAAAAATCTTTGTGCAAATGTAGTAACATTGAAAGTACTAGTGACATTTGCACAAGATTAACGTGAACGTGTTCACACACAGAAATATCGTCACTAAGTGAGAAGTGATGATATACCTGTATCGAGAAAGTAAACAAATAGTTGTGTGGTGCTCACGGGACTTATGTGGTAAAGAATAGATTATTATCATCAGTCGGAATTTCTCCACTCTGAAGGGGATTTGCTACAGTCTCCACGCCTGCCAAATGCCTTAGAAATGAAAATGTCAAAGATGGTGATGGTCCCTTGTGGTAGATGTATAACACACCCTTTTTACTCCGGGTGCCGCGCGTTTATCCACTTCTAAAACTTCCTGAGCTTAAAACCTATCTAACCGTCTCGCAAGTATCTCCAAACTACAATCCATTGAAAACAGTTCAATAATTTAGGAGTGGCCGGTTTTCACATCACAATTTATAATGATATATTTTTCCCACAGGGGCAGGCAGTGCTAAGCCCAATACTCCTCCGTTAAAGAACGGCAATGACTTGAGAGAGTCTGGCTACCTGATCGCCGTCGGCTCCAGAACTTCCAGGTAAGAATGATACTGCCTTTCCCATCATCGTCAGTTTTTGAAGGTTTGAAGTTTCGGATATTAGATGAATTCTCATTAAACAATTTTGATATTTTGAGTCTAATTGTATAATTAAATGATTATAAAATTGCATTATTGTGAAGTCAGAAATGGACCTTATGACGACACGGCCTAGATTTACTGACGGACTGAGAGACCGACTGTTCTAGTTTCTGACATTGTAAAGGTAACGTGGAAATAGATACTATGACTTTGACGTTAATCCTAGTCGAGTTTGCGTCTACACCGATATACAAAATTAAATCAAGTTCTCGTTACATTAAGATAAGTTATTTATATACTGTGTCTTTTCAGGTTCAGAAGAAAATATCGAAAGAGAATGCCAGTGATAATCATTATTGTCATATTTATTCTAATACTAATAGCTTTCATTGTGATATCAATTTTATGTGAGTATACAAATCTTTACGATTCATTCACTGTTAGGCTCCGTCCATTTGGAGTTGCGGAGAACCTAACGGCTTACCTGGGCGCCGGCTCGAAGTGCAGGAGTAAGAACGGGGTGGTTTTTAGTCAGTAAGAGTCTGACACTCCCTCCCGCCTTACCCAGGCGAGAGCAGTCATTCGATGATTTTCCCCCTTAAAAAAAGGCTCCGGCCACATTATGACAGAACAGCTGCGGTTTTCAACCTGGTTCGGGGCCAAACCCTCTGTAAAGCGGCTTGTGTTCGCTTTAGGGTCACTGTCCACGTTGCGTCATTTGCCGAATGCACGCATCCTTCATAAACAATAAGCGACTTACAAATAACGAATGCTTGCATCTTACTAAGAAACAATGAAAACTGTCTACGAAGCGGCAACTTTATACCGGCCTATTCTTTGCGAAGGATGCATGCATACGTCAAATGACGCACAGTTTCTATTATTGTTTCATAAACGCACTCGATTAAAAACGGCCGCAGTTCGGCCCTAATGCGGTCGTGGCCTTATTGAATTTTCTTTAGTTTTATTCGGGATTTTTATTCCCGAACGAAGTGAGGCGCAATACTAGTACATGAATGCAATACTTTCATTACGTAAAACGGATGCATCCATAAATGAAACTGGACACGGCATTTAATTCCCTGGATACAGTCTAGACCGTGAACAATATAATCCACCTAGACATAGAATATTAAGGAGACTCATCTCCTTCTTAAGGTTAAACTAGTCGCAGGCTCGAACTCAATCAAGGGCGTGGCCAAAAAGCGCGCTGTCTCATCTAACATCGTGTGCGACAGAAATAGTACCAGTGATGAGCAGTTAGACGCTATCTATTTGCACGACGTATTGTTCGCTCGCACACAAACACAGCAAAACGTCACTGAACGGTGCATATATCTGTGCTGTGTGTGTTTACTCGTAGTAAAGTCGTACGTTTTGCTACGATTTTATGATGCTCGCATGAATTTTAGTAATTATTGTCACAGGGCATTGTAATTACTGAAATTTTTTTATGATAAGTTGATAACACAATATCCGAAGAATCTACGAATAACGAAAGGCTAGGGATATAATTCTGTAGGTAAGCAGTTACTTTTTTTTTAAGTACCAATAACTTTTATATGTACCTACTAAACCTAATAGGTACCTACAATATTTGTTGTATTTATTTAGTTTTCGTAAAAGTAGGTAATTACCTAAAAGTATGTTTACTTGCTAAAAATAAAGTAAGAAACGTAATAAAAAGTATAGTTGACAACCCCAATCGAGTTCTCACGGAGCGCGATAGCCACAAAATATAAAGGTACCTAGTTAGTTCTATGGTATAACTACATACAAAGCGCGCTCGAGCACGTAGGTATAAACAGTGAAGCAGGTACATACCTACATGAGATTGACTTCTGTACCTATGTATTTTGCGCGAAAACATTCGGCTTGACGGTTGCCCGTTGATATTATCAATATTCCTACTTGCGGTTATCTACAATAATTTATTATAAAGAGCCTAAAGAGCTAAAGTTTGATTTATAATTAGGTAGCATGATCATTTCTTCTGTCTGGGTGTTTTTTATCTAATTATAATAATATGTAAACATTTAGAAATATACCTCTAAGTATGTATATCTGTTGTCTAGTAGGTAGGTACCTACACATAACACAAGCTCTGCTTAGTTTGGGACTGGACAGCGTTGTGTGATAGTTGTGGAATATTATTATTATATTATTATAACTTAGGTATTATTTAGGAAGGATGGCTAAAAAGCATACCGTACGTAAACGTAGTGTACCTGCTAGTAAATATCAAATTCGGTCTAGCCGAATGGAACATTGACCTGAACAAATAGAAAGACAGACAGACGGAAAAATAAATAGTAAAAATACAAAAATAAATAAATAAAAAATGGGTTTAAAAACTATTTATTTGTTTTTTCTGTCTATCTGTCTTTCTGTTTGTAATACGTAGGTACCTATGTCCAAAGGAATAAGTAGTTTTTTTTACCTACTTATCGTGCAAATAGTCGTGTGAGCATGAAAAATTGTATGTAGGTAAGGTATTTTAATATTTGGTACAAACTGACACTGCAATTTATTTACATTGTTTAGTATAGGTATATCGATTTTACGATTTATAAATAATATAAGTATCGTAAGGTAAGGTATTTTAATATTTGGTACAAACTGACACTGCAATTTATTTACATTGTTTAGTATAGGTATATCGATTTTACGATTTATAAATAATATAAGTATCGTACCTACACCTCGCACTATAATACCTACGGACAGTTTACTTACAAGCTTTTATATAGGTAGGCAGGTACTTACTCGTGGCTTCGTTGATAACTAACAATTATATTTTTGTTCAACTTACGTACCGCGAATAATACCTTAGTACCTACCTACCTAATAAATAGGGTACGATCGTGTCATCGTATAAAGGGAATTTTGTGTAGGTATAGACCTACTCCTATCCTACCTATCGACACCACACCACCGCACCGGTCGCAAAACTCCAGTCGTAAGATAAGCGTAAGGAGAATAGTCTACACATACGATACAAACCACGTAGGCCACAGCAGCAGACTAACAGCCAGTTTCAATAACCTATCTATCTGTAGATTTGCTTACTAGAGATAGGATTTTGACATAAGCTCCATACAAAAAGTGTCAACATTCTATCACTAGTAAGCAAATCTGAAGATAGATAGGTTATTGAAATTGGACGTAAGACGACCGAGTCCAAAACAATAGAAAATAAATAGTCTAATGATTGCACGACAGCGCGTGTCGTGCAATAATTTGTGCAAAAACGCGTGAGCGTCTTCCCTCCGCCCCGCCCCGTGCCGGGGGAATTTTATCTAATGAAATGCACGATAATTCATCGTAAAACGAGTGCGTATAAAAGTACGATTTAGTGCTTTAGGAAATAGCGATTTTTGAAAAAACCACTGCTTAGATCAAATTCAAATAAATTTTATAGAACTCTCTGGTAATTTTGCTGTGTCGGTACGGTCTACGGTTTGGAGATTTTACACGATTAGTGGTACTTTTTAACACCCAAAGTTGCGGTAAAATTGTCATGAAAAACAAAACTTTGGTGGCTCATAACTTTTTAATCGTTTTTTTTTATTTATTTTTGTTTCCGTACCGACAAATGTAATTACAAGATAAAACGTTATCGTGTTTAATTTTGGAGGTACAAATTCACACTGTGGAGTAATACCACCCCGAACTTTCTATGGAAAAAATATCGACTAGTGTAACCTTAAGGAGATGAAGTCCTCAAGATACCACTCACGGATAACTTAGATATTCAGCCAAGATAGTGGCCTTCGATCGACCCATTTTCAGTATTAAAAAATGTACCTATCTATACTATACTTAAATACCCCAACCCTCCTGCTAAGCGCGGAGATTATAGTAAACCTGTCTTATGTAGTAGAAGCCCATAGTCCAATAGATTCTAAGAGGTATAAGTTATATTTACACAGTCTATTTATTTATTAGAGCCTTCATTTAAATTGGACAATAAATACGTATATTTTGATTCAAGGTTATGTTAATCAATCAACGTTGTTCCAGTGATTAGGTCTAATGTTTTAACAAAAATAAAGTTTTGCAAATATGTAAAAGTAATACTTAGCTACATATTATTTTCATGTCTTAATATTATAAAGTAAAAATAAGCAAATTCGTTTAATGTTAGTCTTACATAACAAACAAGAAATTGGTGCATTTTATAAATCATTCAAAGTACCTTTGTATGCAAATTGTCTGCACAAAAACTAAGCATACCACCGATAATGCATAGAAATGGCTCAGTTCTAGAATTTGTACTGAAAATTCCATTGCATAATATGAATTACAGATTAACTTGTGTTAGTCAAATGTAATGTTCAAAATAATAATATTTTGCTAACCACTTCACATGTAAAATCACTACATAGTATAAAACAAAGTCGCTATCCGCCGTCTGTCTGTCCCTATGTATGCTTAGATCTTTAAAACTACGAAACGAATTTTGATGCGGTTTTTTTAATAGATAGAGTGGGTTTCTGGTGGTTGAGATTCTTAAGGAAGGTTTATATATATATATATATATATAATACGTGTATGTTACACCTGTGCGAAGCCAGTTCGCTAATAAAATATAAAATAACAACACTTGAGAATAGGGTACATGACTAATTTTAATTTTCATGCCTGTCTAGTAGATTATTTAAAAACATTAGACACATATTTTTTATTTTCTTACAGAATAGTTTTGATGATATATTGATTTGAAATATCGCACGACGTCACTTTTGAGTACGATTTATACTCTAAAATGACGTAGCTACCTCCCACTCCTGAACTTTGATTCGGGTTATCTAAGTATTGTTTTCTTATACGACAAAATAAAAAAATACGTGTCTAATATTTTTTCATTACCTAACTGACGGACTAATTAAATTTTTAATGTTCATACCCTGGCATCATCCCTATTGTCTTGAAAGTATTAACTTTTTACGGTTAAAGGTCAGTCATATAATTCGTAAATGCAACCGCTTGTATGGCGACCTCTGCCTAACTGATGAATTACTAATGTCCCTAGATGCGCTAGCAGTACACAGAAAACCCATAAAGCTATGCGAGAGTACTGAATGTCTACGTTCAGCTGTTAACCTCGCCCTCTCCATGGATACCAGTGCTAATCCATGTGACAATTTTTACCAGGTAATAACCCGTCTATTTAGTTTAAAGTTTACGACTTTGATGTTTTGTATTCTTTTATTTATCCCCGAAGGGGTAGGCAGAGGTGCACATTATGCTACTGTACAATGTACCACCCACTTTTCACTATTTATGTTATGAGTCCCATGTAATAGGGGGTGAGCCTATTGCCATACACCGGGCACAATTCCAGACTCCGTGTTACTACTGAGATTTTTTTAACAGTAATTCTTTGCCTGACCTGGGAATCGAACCCGAGACCCCTTGCCTGGCAGTCGCACTTGCGACCACTCGGCAAATGAGGCAGTCATGATTTATATGTCTTTAGTATAAATTGTCCTACATCAAGCATGATTCCAGGTACAATGAGGAAGTAGACACGTTTTAATATTATTCGAATAGACTTAATGTTCGGCAGGCATTTCATCAGGTTGTCAGTACCTACTCAGACTAAAACTGTATTCCCTTTTAGTACGCTTGCGGTAATTGGGCCTCCGACCACCCCAGACCTGATGCCTACCAATCATACGACTGGTTCCAAGACAAGCAGATCAAGGTGTACTTCCTGGTGAGAGACTTCCTCAATAGAAACACCAGCCACCAGCCCAAGGCAGTTCAGCAGGCCAAGGATATGTACAATGGATGTATGGATACGGGTAAGATAAGAACAGCTCTTTATTCACGTGTTCAAACATAATGCACCATAATGCTAGTTGATCTTCTATGACGATTGGTCTCCAAACCGATTTCAATAAGGATATTCAGTAGTTGGTATGGTGGCCCGGGTTTGACCAACGGAAAGTACCGATGTGACTTTTTTCCAAGGTATATGTACTTTCTGAGATTATTTAGACGCCACTAACAAACGGTGAAAGAAAACATCGTGAGGAAACCTGGGCATATGATTTCTAATTATAAGATTGAAATCGCCAACCCGCATTGATCAACCGTGGTGATTAATGCTCAAGCCTTTCCTACGTTAGAAGAGATCTTTGGTCTGCCGTGGCTACTTACAAGCTGTTGATGTGATGTGATGATGCGATTAGGTAGTAATAGAAACCAACGACACTAAAAACATGGCAGTGAATGTTTGAATGCACTAATACAGGTGCACTCTCTGTTTCCGCGCTGTCATAACCCGATAGGCCAATAGTTAGAAAACCTAATATATTATCTTCGAAATTTTGGTATTTTTTTAATCAACCTTCTTCAAGTATAAAGATGACATCATCTGACGAAACTACCTTCAGTCATTAGTAACTGTGCTTTGAAATCTTCAAATTACTTATTCATTCACATGTCTTTAGAAGTAACAGTTATACAGTAATACCTACTATTAATACTTATGTAGTTTTACATAACCTGATTTCACTAAAATTTCTTGACATACTTGACAAAATAAAGAAAAACAAAAGTAACTTCAAGTATCCTTCGACCTAGTTTTAAGTAATTACTACAAAGTACTAACAAATATTGACCTGTTTTATGACAAACACGTCATTGTTTTAAGTCTATAGCTTGGGAGTCATCAATTTTAAATGGTAAAACACATTCGTCTTGTCAATCAATCAATAATTCATTGGTACCAACACCAACCAACATACACAATTTTGTGTAACACTACGGTAACTACTTTAATAATTACACGCAATGGAGACAACAAACAGTAAGTTCAATTAAATTGATAGCGTCACTGCTTTATTGGTCGTAAGCACTACTGTCTAGCAAAGGGTTCCTGGATTGGTACACAGTTTATTAACTGAATAAGATCCTTTTTCTTGACCGTCACGTATGTCTTGAACTACCAACAAGGTAGTAACTTCAATCTTAACTATAAATTACGAGTTACTCACTTATATATACTGAGACAAGCTCTACTAGTTTCGAGTCACAGAGGGACGCTTCCTCTTAAGCAGCAAGCACGGTCACACGGTAAAGTCGTAATTTGTAGTTAATTTACTATGTCTCACAATAGTTACTATAAAAACTTCAATTTTAAGCTAAATTAAATACATAATTTACTTTACAGACACATTGGACAAACGAGGATTAAAACCAGTGATAGCTATACTGGAAACGCTTGGTTTACCTCCCTACCCCACTTATATCAATGCGACAGATGATGTCGACTACTCTACTTACGCCTTCGATTGGCTGGACACTGTCATTAAAGTGAAGACACAGATCGGTATGGACGTCCTCATAGGCTTCGACATCTTTACCGACCTCAAGAATTCCACTATCTTCAAACTTATGATGGGATCGCCGGAAGCTACTAATCCTTTTCCAAGGTTATTTAATATTACTCTAGTAATAGTATTGTCAAGGATCAATCACAGGAATAAATCCTAATTTGAATTTCATTAAAGGTACTGTTACACGTGCTAATATCAAGCACGAAAGTATGATTCAATTGAACACTTATCACTTAGTAGCATGTGTGTCAGGATGTTACTCAAAACTATTATGCTCATTTCGGGCATGTTAGCGAATTCATGGGCGTGCGAGTTTTGAATATTTTTGAGCATGCTCAATAAAATACCTTGTAGCATGCTACTATTTTAGAGCATGTATAGCAGTACCTTTTACATCTTAACTCATCGAGTACCGGTTTTATAGACACAATTAAAGAACAATAGGTCGCGGTCACCGGTGACCGCTTGGTGTTTGACAGTTTAATTATTAATCTACTCATATCCTTTTGTTATGCTCATTGCAGCACTTATAGAGATAGAAAACGTCATGGCAAAAGAACACTAAAGGATCTTGTTAACTTCATAGAAAAAACTTCAACAAGAGACCTCATACACAAGATTGAACGTCGAAGTGACAAATCTGAAGACTTAGACGAGAAAATAGCTCAAATACATAAATTATTCTACGCTGAGCTCATGAAATTATTCGTTGTAGAAGGTGGTGGAACTAAAAATTCTAAACTGACAGAAGTTGAACTAGACGAGAATATAATTGAAGCAGCTAATGAATATTTCGAAGCATACAGTGATATTTATGAGGTAAGTTCAACTGTAGACAAATTCTACACTAATAATAATCTGAGACTGCACGAGACTATAAAACTTTGTATAGCATCATTACTGAGACACACAAAAGCCCCCAATCAAGGATGGATTTTGAGACCTCTCTAGCTTTTTCATATCATTTTACCACCAAGCTCGTCTTTATAACATTGGACTATCGAAATAACAATACATAAATACGTACTTTAATTGATACCTACGCCATCCCCCAATCCACAAAACAAAGATTAGATTAGACGCGAAAACATTAAAACAAAAGCAATTTATGTACCATATGGACCACCTCTCCCACACTTTTTTTAAGTGTGGGAGAGTCATGCTTCGGCACGAATGGGCCGGCTCGACCGAAGCGATACCACGGTCTCACAGAAAACCGACGTGAAGCAACGCTTGCGTTGTGTTTCGTCGTGTGAGTGAGGTTACCGGAGGCCCAATTACCCTCCCCTTCCCCAATCTCCCAAATTCTTGAATCCCCAACGATCCTTAGAACTCCTAATCCCCAAAAGGCCGGTAACGCACTTGTAATGCCTTTGGTATTCCAGGTGTCCATGGGCGACGCCGATTGCTTACCATCAGGTGATCCGTCTGCTCGTTTACCGGATTATCCCATAAAAAAAATAAAAATAAAATTAATACCTAGATATGACACAATGCTAATTTATAGATAATGGATTGACGATTATAAGCTTATCTATAAGACCTAATGGTAGTACATTGAATAGGTAATGGCTGACCTACTAGTACCTATATAATTACGGTACAACAAACTGCTTTTTCTAACAATCAATAGCGTGTGACATGTGAAACGTGTTGTACGACCATTGATGATAAGAAAATAGATACTAGTACAGGTTTTATAAATGCCTTGTTTACCTACTAATGGAACTGAAACAAAATTAAACTTTAATACTTAAAAGCTATGATATATTTTAATTCAATGTGACATTTAAAGAATATCTGATTATCTCTTCATGTCTAACGCTAATTTTATTTCTCAATATACTTCCCAAGTACAACCTACAGCAAAAAAAACGATTCTGTTTTTTTTTTCAGTTAGAATCAAGTAACTCTACAGAAATGGATGATGACGATGACCTGAACATACCAGAATACACAGTGGATGAAATACAAGCACACACAGATGCAGTCGTTGAAAACAATAATGGTACTGCAACACCGATATGGAAGAAGTACTTGGAAGGAATATTCAACGTCAGCAATACGGTACTGGACTTTGAAAAGGACAAGATTCTCGTATCTGATGAGGATTTGAAGTACATGTCGCTGATGGCCGCTTATGTGGCCAAGACTCCACCTGTTGTGTTAGAACTTTACATCTGGGTAAAGGTGAAAATAACTTGAATTTAAACTACTTTACAAAGTTTATAAAAACTACTTTATAAAAAAAATTTTGAATCTTTAATATGATGGAAAGCTTCTTTTAAATTAATTTCTCGTTTGTGGTACCAGTCTAATTTCAAGGTTCAGGTAGTTTCATTCTTCATGTGCCATGGCTATTTGAGGAACATATACATTTCTGGCCATTTACTTTCATCATGAAGTACATTTTTCTTTTATTTCTTCACCAGGTGGTAGAAGTAATGTCAGTTCACACGACCACAGAGCTGCGCACTTTATTCCAAAGAGCGTACGACCAAACTCATGGCCACAAGTCTATAACTCCACGCAGCGTACAGTGCGCCAATGCTGTCAACGATATGTTAGGCATGGCTGTGTCCTACGGTATTGCAGATCCGCATTTCTTCAATGTCACAAAACCGAAGGTAGAAACACGATGTAAAACTTTATGGGTACCCAGAGGAACTTTATGGTTGTAAACTATTAAACCCTCCTTCGTTTACAGATAATAACAATGATTGATGAACTAAAAGATTCATTAGCTCACCTCGTCGGCCAAGCAAGATGGATGGATGATAATACAAAGATAGCAACGTACCAGAAAATCATCGAAATGAAATCTCTCGTAGGATTCCCAGACTGGCTTCTGGAAGAAGGAAGACTTGAAGAATATTATGAAGGAATAGACATTGACGCTGAGAAACATTTAGAGAACATAATCAATATAAATCAAGTAAAAACTAAGAAAGTTTTAAATATGTTTAGGGAACCCAACAATATTACTTGGGCCACTGATCCTACAGAAGTTAACGCGTATCATACATTTCGGGAAAATACTATAAGTGAGTGAAAGTAATTTTTATTTGGTTTGCAATAGAAATAATAAACTTATAAATTGATTTTTTCACACAAATCCTTGTAAGTTTTCATATACAATGTTAAGATATAATAATATAAGCATCAGTTTCTTCTTAAGTCTGTTCTTCTTCTTTTAATGTAATATTATATACCTATTCATATTTCAAAGTCAGTATTTACTATCTAATTTTTCAACATATCTTCCAGCTGTTCCTATGGTGATGTTGCAGCATCCTTTTTTCGATTTAGGACTTGAGTAAGTACTTTTAAGTTAAGTAGATAGTGTTTTTGTATCTTGAGTCTTTTTCATAGGTTCTCTTTAAGCTTCAGTTATTACTCTCAGGTTATAAAAGCACTGTAAAATGTTTATCTAGTAGGTGGTGTTTCAGTTACTTATCTTTTCCTTGTTCAGCTCACTTAACTACGGCTCCCTGGGAACGGTTCTTGGGCATGAAATAACGCATGGCTTCGATAGCGTTGGTAATATCCGCATTTCTATATTTTTATTATTAGTTTATACACTCCAAAACTATAAAAACACTTGAATATGCAACTGAATATGATAAATTATGAACAAAGTTACTTACTAGTTAGCAACTCGAAAAGCATGAAAAATTACACACACAAAAATTATTAGGAGCACATCAGCAAAATTAAACTGCTATGTCGAATAACATTATTATTTTTTTAGTTTTTAAATTGTTTGACATATTCAATCATTAAATCATATCAAACAAAACTTATACTTATACTTATACTCATTACAGGCCGTCATTTCGATAAAAACGGCAACATGTTACCGTGGTGGTCCAACAGCACCATTGACTCGTTCGTCAATATGACACGCTGCTTCATCGACCAGTATTCCGAATATTATCTGCCAGAGCTAGACAAACATGTAAGTTTAATATATTTTTGAAATATCATTTTTTATTATAAAGAAAAAACTATTCACTTTAGTATTAACTTGTAATATTCAGGAGTTCTTCAAGGGTTCATTCTTGGACCCACTATTTAATAGTGTTTGTATTTTTATATTTCAATGTTTTGAGACAGTTATCTTATATTATACTTATTATATAAAGCTGAAGGGTTTGTTCGTTTATTTGAACGAGCTAATCTCAAGAACTACTTGTCCGATTAGAAAAAATATTTTTGTGTGGGATAGTACATTTATCGAGGAAGGTGTCTGTAAGTTTTTAAACATCACGCTGCGCTATAAATAATAGGATCCGAACAAAGCGAATGAAAAACACGGAAGGAGCTAGATATTTTCATAAAAATAATATTAGACATTGATAATTTATAAGTGTCTTTCCTCATAGGTAGACGGTAAAAACACACTGGCAGAAAATATTGCTGACAACGGAGGATTGAGGGAAGCTTTAGCAGCTCTGAAGCATCATCTCCGGAAACGAGAACCGGAGCCCAAGCTACCAGGCTTCGAACATATGACTCCTGAACAACTATTCTTCTTGTCTTATGGGAATGTAAGTTTTTTGTTTTTGCGTTAATTATTAAGAAAATTTCATGTATGTAAAAATTTATATAGAAATACTTGAAAGCACTGTATCACTGTATCTATCTAAATTTTTTAGCAGGCTTTATTTATTTATTTCATGTAGCAGAATGAAATATATGTCTACATTTTTTATTGTTGAAATTACATTTATCGTTACGTCGCTGGTTCGATTCCTGCACGGAACAACTCCACAGATTGTTGTTCCGGGTCCGGTTCCGGTGATGTGTATGTAAATTTTGTGTTTGTATACGCACCCACGACACAGGAGAAAATCCTAGTGTAGAGCACCGTTGTTTTTTTTAAATCGCTCTACATGACCATACCATGCAATAAGATACCTTATACTATGACTTTAAAAACTTACTTCCTAACTTCCAGCTGTGGTGTGGAGTTTCCACGAAGGATGCTCTAAAGTCTGACCTGGAGGATGCGCACACTCCTCATCTGTTCCGAGCTCAGGGAGTTCTGCAGAACAACGAGGACTTTGCCAAAGCTTTCCATTGCCGACCAGGATCCAATATGAACCCGGGAAAACGATGTATCATATTTTGAAGGTAAATAATGTCATGGTATGGTAAAATATTAATAATAATAGGATTACTTATGTATTTATGTGATTAATTTTATATATTTAACTCGTCGAGTACCGGTTTTATAGACACAATTAAAGAACAATAGGTCGCGGTCACCGGTGACCGCTTGGTGTTTGACAGTTTAATTACCCTAAGTTATTGCGTTTATTTAGTCAATACACGCTATAGAGTAACAAATTTTCATGACGATAGCGACATGCAGACGAGTATATGTCTGGGATTAGATTCCTGCGTTGCGATCTAGACAGTAGTATACCTAGTAGTCTTTGATAGGCACATATTGAACATAAGACTTTCAATATGACTAGCAAAAAATGAATGTCCTATTTAATGTACCCTTCAAACGTTAAAGCTGCCAGTCAATTTAACTCGTCGAGTACCGGTTTTATAGACACAATTAAAGAACAATAGGTTGCGGTCACCGGTGACCGCTTGGTGTTTGACAGTTTAATAAGTAGATTAGAGATATTTCTTTTTTATTTTACAGATTACAGAAGGGAACCACTAGTCAACTACCTAGTCAATGGAAACAAGGATGTACTCAAATGTGAATAGAACATAGATAAGTATGTAATCGTAGCTTAGTTAAGAACTAGTACTAGGAATATTTTTATGTAAATGTGTGTGCCATAGAATACAATGACAAATGAAAAAGTACTTTTATACGCCTGATCTCTTCGTGTGGTGATGTAATTTTAATTTTACAAACCAGTATTTATAATATGGACGCACAACAGTTTGACTTGTCTACGTTTTTGCACTTTCGTTCTACTATAACTTACGTCTTCGTGTGTTCATATTTATACATAATTACCTAACCTACGTACTTTGTGATAAATGATCTCTATCCAAGTAAAGATTTTGTGATGTTTTCTATTAAATATATGTAAAATAACATCTGTGTTTTTGTCATACCTTTGCATATAATCAAAAAAAGGATTCAATTTCACCACCCTCGGACTAAGTCCTTTAAATATTTTACGTAATTATTCTGTTTAAGAACAATGAAACACTGAGACTGGTAAAATAACTTTAATTACAAAGATATAATGCACTGAATACACCTGATTATAACATATTAGTGGTGACCAATGCTGTTGTACGAAATTGTTTTGGAGAAACCTCCTCCATAGCCTGACGAAATACCGTAGCCACCCCCATAGGCACCGCCATAGGCACCGCCATATCCACCGCTATATCCACCGCTATATCCACCATAGCCTCCAGAAATTGGGATACCACTAGAAATGCCGATTCCACCCGAAATCCCACCCAGACCGACAGAACCAGGACCTAGAGCCACAGAAGATAAGGATGATGCTACTGGAACTGTAGAGACAGCTTGAACAGCAGCCACAGCTGGTACAGGGACTCTCCTCTCAACTACTACGGGCTGCGGGACAGGTACAGGTCTGTCTACTACCACAGGCTGGGGCACAGGCACAGGCCTATCTACCTGAACTGGTACCTGAACTGGCACAGGTCGGTCTACGTACACAGGGTGTGGGACTGGCACTTGACGGTCGACATATACCGGCCTGTCAACTGGCACTTGCTTTTCGACAGTCACAGGGTACGGAACAGGCACATTGACGGGAACCTTCACAGGGTATGGCACTTTCCTCTCGTAGTACACAGGCACCTGCCTTGTGACCTCCACGGGGACTTTCTGTACGACTGGATACGGTACAGGTCGGTCCACTGTCACAGGTACAGGAACTCTCACGGGGACAGGCACTTGACGGTCCACAGGGACCGGTACGGGTACTTGCACAGGTACTTGAACGTCGCGGGTTATGGTCCTGGTGATGTAGCGAGGTACTTCTTGTCGAAGGATTACAGGATTAGGCTCTATGTTAACTGATGTTTGTACTGCTGGAGCCACTGCTACGGGACCAGCTGCCACAGGGGCAACCGCTACCGGTGCTGCTGCGATGGTTGACACTGCGGGACCTGCAACAGTTGCGATGGCCGGTCCTGCAGCGATTCCTCCTCCCAGACCACCACCCAGACCAAATCCACCGAGCCCGCCGCCAAAACCTCCAGAAGATATTCCAATACCACCTCCGGAGTATCCAATTGAATGTCCCAGACTAATTCCTGGCGACGAGAATCCGATGAAGTGACCGCCGCCATACGATGGAATGTGTCTCTTCACGCCCTTGTCAGAAACTGCCTCATTCTTGATTCCTTCAGTGGCAAGAAGTTTAGATACTTTGGACTTTTCTGATACTTCTTTTGATGTTGACAAACTGCTTGCCGAGAGCAGCACCTGAAATAAACAACATAGGACTGTGAGGAGAAAATAAACAATACCAATTTATTATGTGAAAGATTGTAAAATATAACGATTACGACTCAAATTCGTGATGAACTCTACAGAAATGAGATTATAAGAAAATCAGATACAACCGAAACTTCCAAGATCAACAAACTATATATAAAGCTACTTCATATATCATACAAGTTAATATCTACGCCAGTATAAGACATGTGTCAGTTTTGTGCCAGTTCTGCGCACGCGCAATATGAACGAGAGCGAGGCGAGCGAGCCACAGCTCACGGAACCTAGCAGGTGATTGCTCTGACCCTTTAGTACTTTGTGTTAAACTAAACTAAAACTAGATCTGTTTGTTTTAGATGGCCGTAAATAGAGATAAATAATTTATTGTGTGCTCTGTTTCCGTATATTAAATTACAACTATAATCTACAATTATACATGACTGCACAGTTACTGCAACGAGTTTCCAACTCTATAATGATCCACAAATTATTGTTCCGGATCTGGGTGTCATGTGTTTGTGACGCACCTAGGACAGGACACAGGAGAAAAACCAATTATGCAATGAATGCCTAATGAATATGTAGAGGTACAATGAAGGAATGATAGTAAAAATTATATGTTTTCTGGAATAAGAGTATGTACCTATGTTACTTCCTGAACGAAAAAACGTTGCCCCACTTTAGGATTTTCTCTTGTGTTGTGGGTGCGCTTACAAACATACAAGTTTACATACCCAATGACACCCAGACCCGAAACAACAATTTGTGGATCACACAAAGTTTGTTCCGTGCGGGAATCGAACCCGCGACACGTTGCTCGGCAGCCGGTTGCCCAGCCACCGCACCAACCGTGCATTATGATTTGTTACGTTAGGTATACGTTATATTTTAATCCCAAACATGTTAATAACTGAATTTAGTTTTGGAGGGACGTCGCAGTTAAAACTAGTTTAACTGGTGCCTACAAATCATATACTTTAACAACTTAATTCCAATAATTTATCTAGATATAATATTTATGGTAAACCTAACTACATTCTGCCTTCAGCCGAAAGCGGTGTTTGAGAAATATTAAATACGATTAGATTTATAAGAATAGCTTTTATACAATGTCGTTAAGGTCGAGTATTCAAAATCGTTAAAGTGGATTATCATCATCATCATCAACAGCCAGTGACAGTGGACTACGAGTCTCCTCTACATAAGAGAACTTGCTATATTCTTTTTTTTAAAAAACGTTGCCCCACATTAGGATTTTCTCCTATGTTGTGAGTGCGTTTACAAACAAACAAGTTCACATACACAATGACACCCAGACCCGAAACAACAATTTGCGGATCACACAAAGTGTTATTCCGTGTGGGAATTGAACCCGTGACACGTTGCACGGCAGCCAGTCGTCCAGCCAGGTTTCCAGCCAACGCGCCAACCGTACAGGAATATTCTCCACTTCTGACATGATAAGGTCTTTTATGATAAGAAAATCATCCAATGACTTCTCCTATCTTAGGTGAGGTGGGAGGGAGGTCACAGTGTTACTGATTAAGAACGACACCGTTCCACCCCCCATTTTTTTGCTGTTTCGGCCTCTATTTTAACATGCAGTTCCTTGGTGAGCACTTTTACTTCTGCACCCACGGGTAGGTTTGAGCTTCCCGTGGGTGCAGAAGCGTTGATTGCAACTAAGTGTACGACAGATGATGATTACAGAATTATTTCACAACAACACGCCTTTTACCCCCGCAGGTGTAGGCAGAATGCACATTACGGCACTTAATGCAAAATACAATGTAACACCCACTTTTCACTATTTATGTTATGATTCCCATGTAATAGGGGGTGAGCCCATTGCTCTATACCGGGCATATTTCCATACTCCGTGCTACTACTGAGAATTTAAAAAAAAACCGAAATCGAAATCGAACCGAAAACGGAAATCGAACCCGAGACCCCTTGCCCGGCAGTCGCACTTGTGAAAACTCGGCCAACGAGGCAGAGATAATTATTATAGTGCCTTAATACGTAGGAGGGGATATAACATACAGTCGAAAATAGTTTCGCTATTTCTCAAAACAATATTACAAAAACAGTAATCTAATTAAATTTGTATTTTGAATACTGGCCTGGGCACCTACATAGGCTGCATATCCATCTGTAACATAACCAGGTGCTAACCTAGCCTCGAGGTCAAGGTGAACATAAGGTCAAACATAGCATAATATATGAGCTACTTCCAGTCTTCGTCTAGATTTATATTCACCATTACCTACATCAGGTCAGTTGATTCACAGAGTAGGTACACGACTACCTAATCCAAATTTTAATACTAGGACCTATTTTGTAATCAGTAGATAACTACATTTTATTCATAGAATAAAAATGGTGTTTGACAGTTTTTGTGTGAAAGAATTGTCAAAGATTCAAAAAATCCTCCAATCAAAGACGACGTGACGTCCTGGGTCTAATAGCAACTTTTATGCTAGCTGACCCAGTAAACTTCGTTCCACCTAAAATTTTTTTTACCTTTTCTCTGGAAATTTCATACAAGACCAAATTTATCCAAATCGGTTCAGTCAGCCGTTCTCCAGTTTTAGAAGAATAACGAACACCAATTTATTTTTGTATCTAAGACTAGCTTCTGCCCGCGACTTCGTACGCATAATCCCATTTTTTCCCGTCCCCGTTCGTGATTTTCGGTAAAAAGTAAAAAAAAAATGTTGGTTAAAAAGTATCCTATGTCGGTCTCCTGGCTAGCTACCTCCCTACCAATTTTCAGCCAAATCTATTCTGCCGTTCTTGAGTTATAAGTGGTGTAACTAACACGACTTTCTTTTATATATATTAGATATGATCAATGCACATGTCACAGATAAACTTAAATTTATTTTCGCAATACTTGTCACATTTGGTTTTTAGTAATCGGTAAATATAAATGTATTCACCATACATACGTCAGGAGCAGAGTTAAGTTTGGCAATTTAAGTGAATGACTTATAAGTGACACCTTAAAGTACTTAAGTAAGGACAGCTAAGGAGCTGTACCAAATAAATTTGCATAGGACTTGCCTAACACCGGATCTAAGGACTTTATATGCTACATTTACCATGAAATGGAGTGGGCCGAACATTTTGCAACACTTGACTCCCGTTTAATTCCGATTAAAGATTTTAAATTAGAAACGTTAAACGAGTGAATTTTGTGACTCGGGTATGAGTTAAAACGGCGATTAGCCATTAAAGAATGGGCTATAACATCGTTAAACTAAACTAGATTTCTCAAGTCATCTACCAATCGTGGCGATTACGGCAAATTCAAAGGGAGGTTTTCGTTTCGCAAAAGCATTCAATCGCTTCGCCCATGTAGTTTAAGGGTAAATTACACCTTATTATTAATCTGTGTATTTAGGGTCAGCATCAAAACTTGATTTACACATTAATATTTTCAAAATCGCTGTACAGCGCATTATGCCTAAATCGGCGAACATGACAAGGACCTTAAATCCAACATCAGATATTTATTTATTTCTGGTGCTTGTCACGTTGACCGATTTAGGTATCATGCTGTAGGTATAGCGATTTTGAAAATCTAAATGTCAACAACCTTTGCTGCTGTCAAAAATCGTACAATAAAAACACTGAACTAACGTGAACGAACAACAAACAAAGTAACACACTTTAGAATCACATTAATATTATAAGTGTTTGGATATTTGGATATTTGGATGTATGTCTGTTAATCACACTGAAACGGATTTTGATTAAAGTCAAAGTCATAATCATTTATTTCAATTAGACCAGTAAGGCACTTTTGAACGTCAACTAAAAAAATTAAAAGTGAAGCTATTTGATTAATTTTGGTATACATGCAAATGTGGGCTGACTTAGGTGATAGGATGTTTTTACCCGATTAAATGCTCCCATGGTATAAACCAGGAATCATAAATCAACGCAGACGAAATCGCGGGCAACAGCTAGTCACTAATAAGTGAGGATATGCAAGAACATTTACCGACATTACACCTTCACATTACGTACAAACTATAATGAATACGAATTAAACAATTCTTACTCAACTTCAGTAACCGGGGTTACGTTTAGTTGTAAAAAAGTGTATGAGTCCGTCTGATGTACCGTGGAACTCATTTGGACGTAACCGATAGTGCGTATACTGTGTGTTCATCAATCTTTGCTTCTAATTAATCATTGGCATGCAACCTGTGATGTCTATATCGATCTTTATCTTTTCCTGCATCGTGATATAATGATAAAGAACCTGAATAATGACCAAGATTGCTCAATGTTTTTTGTTTTATTAACGACATTTTCTCCAAATATAAGTTAGGTAGATCGGTTTATCGCCCTCGAAACCTTTTCCTAGATTGTTTATATTTTATACAAGAATTGCTCGTTTAAAGGTATTAGATTAAAACAGTATCAGATAGATACTTAGAGTTTTATTAATCACCTGATCTGAGCTAACCTAATGTGAGCTATTAGAAGCACCCGTAACATCAAAAAAGCCAAAATATTTCAAAATCAAAGTAAAAAAGCAATGGTGAACCTTTAAGGGTGCAGGTGACTGAATATTATCTATTAAGGAAATGATAACTGTGAACAAATTCATTAATAAACTTCCATGTTACATTTCTCAATTCATTTCTCAGTTCTCATGAGAACAAATCTTTAAAAAAACAAACATATAAATTGAAAGTAAACTTTAAAACCTATTTGAAACACCAGAAAGAAACTGAAGTCGGGACAAAAACGAAAATTTTTAGAAACATCCTAACTAATCCAAAGTCAATTGTAGTAGAAGAAATTTAAAAAAAAATAAGATAATAGGGCAATAAGTCCCAATACACGAAACAAAAACATTTAAGTTTAACTAAGTTTAAGTTTAATTAAGTTTAACATAAATAGAAACAAAATTATTTGAAAATCACAACTCAATTACGTCAGCCATCAGCCTCACAAAATCTGATGCAATATCATCAGAATATGGCACTAGGTACCATTAGTGGTTAGGGTCAGTGACCACCTTTCGAAGGACCACCTCAGAACCTGCCGGAAACGCGAACCCTAATGAACATGTCCCGTGTAAGACGATCTGACTAAAGGATGTTAAGTAACGCACACGCATATAAGTAAACCACACTGGCATACATGCATAATTAAGTGACTATGATCCTTAATGGATCATGTCGGGTTGAATTAGTTTTTTTTTTGGGGTTAGGACGACATTTTTAAACGACTTAAAAAAAGATAGATGTTCTCAATTTGATCTGTACAGATGTATGTTTATGTCTGCGATTATCTCAGGATTGGCGGGACCAATTCTAACGTGGTTTTCAGAAAAGTATTTGTTACACATAAGAGCAGGTTACAGATTAAAAATTAAAAAAAAGGATGTTCAAGTCGTTTTTTTTTTAACGTAGTTTAATGAAAACTATTTGTGTTTATACACATTAGTTAGTAAGATTTTTGGGAAATTTTGAGATAAGTACTTTTTTAAAGAGTATTGACGGAATTTCTTGTTCATTCTTCTCCATACGAATGTGCATTCTACTAGCATCAAGCTTCATTGATAGACAGATTGATGTATAATTCTATTTTGATGCCTCAAATGGTGTGATGCGGTTTAATATGAGGACGTAAAATAATTATTGATATAGATGATATTTGTCTTTAGAGGTTAGAGTGCAATATAGCCTACTCTTTTATGAGAATATTATATCTATTTTATTATAATATTTAGGCCAAATTGAGATTTTATTGTTCCAATTTCTATTTACTTTGATCAAATACCTTATAAGCGTACCTTATTTGATATCGATTAATAAATAACGCAGTAATTAATCAAATTAATTTTAGTCGATTATTAATTTATCTTGTATACCTACGGGTATTTGGTCTAGGAGTTTCGGTTCATATCATTATATATATATAAAGGAAAAAAACTTATGAGTGTTATGATTTTAATTCTTTTTTTTTTTGTAGCAACGCCGACGGAAATAGTAAAGGAGTGACATACGAAGTAACTTACCATCAAAACGAAAATCGGTGACATGTCCAATTTGATATATTTACTTGATATTATAAAAAATAAATCCGAGATCACTGTATCACATTACTTTCAGCGACTATTAGATAGAGTGCGCCAACGTTCTGCGCTTACGCAGCCGGCATCGCAACTTATATAGACGCGTGCGCAACTCCTGTAAGACCAAAACTGCTCTATTGCAACTAGTTGATACATTTATCAGGTTTACTGGTGCACATGGTACCAGTACCTATAATATTTAAGCAACAAACATTATTTTGACAACACTTCCTTTAAATCAAAATATCACGACGTTTTATCCCCGAAGGGGTAGGCAGAGTTGCACATTACGGCACTTAATGCCACTGTACCTATAATGTAAGACCCACTTTTCACTATTTATGTTATAAGTCCCATGTAATAGGGGGTGAACCTATTGCCATATAACGGGCACATTTCCAGACTCCGTGCTACTACTGAGTTTTTTTTTTAAACCCAGTAATCCTTTGCCTGACCCGGGAATCGAAACCGAGACCCCTTGCCCGGCAGTCGCACTTGCGACCACTCGGCCAACGAGGCAGGCATAACGATTTTGTTCTGTAAACAATTGCTAAGGACTTGGTTAACCAACCTTCGAATAACTCTGCCCGAAACAACAATTTGTGGATCACAGGAAGATTTGCTCAGTGCGAAAATCGAATCTGCACCAGGTGCAGTTACAGCAGGTGCAGCAGGTATGTGTTCGTCATAGAAATTGTCGGTCCTTTGAGGGTACCTGAGGAAGGCCCCGAGTACCCTTATAGTAAAGATGGCACTGAGTAACACCAACAATTATGTTGGTAAAAAAAAAATAATATGACACAAAAGATTATAGAAGTATTGTCTTTCAAATATTGTAAAAGACAAATACCGATTTATAATCCAAATTAATTTATGGGGCAAAGAATCCTATGGCCTCGGCACAGGTTTACTGATAAAAAATAATTTGCAAGAATCACAGAGAAGAATTGAAACCACTAAAGCTAGGTACCCTTATTTACTACTGGACAACACAGTCTTGTCTATTACGTCATCTTATCACAAACTCCTTTCTCTTTCCTATCATTCTTTACACAATCTCTTTCACAATCTTCTTTCTTGGTTCTCTTCTTCCTTTTCATCTTTGCGCGTTTTTCTTTTTTAAATTCAGTACTCGCTTCCATGCATGATTTTCGTGCGTTCTCTTTAACGAATTTTTACTCAAAATTTTGTAAAATACCTCTTACCCCTTAACACAGGCAGATGCCTCTTTTCTCTCTTCTCTCTTCTAAATCGCATTTAAACTGTCAAATACCGCGAGGACACCGGTGACCGCAACCTATTGTTCTTTAAACATAACATAACATCACGCTTTTTATCCCCGAAGGGGTAGGCAGAGGTGCACACAGAAGTAACACCCACTTTTCACTATTCATGTTATGAGTCCCATGTAATATACCTTGAGTCCCATGTAATATACTATGAGGGTGAGCCTATATTGCCATATACCGGGCACAATTCCAGACTCCGTGCTACTACTGAGATTTTTAAAAACCCAGTAATACTTTGCTCGACCCGGGAATCGAACCCGAGACCTCTTGCCCGGCAGTCGCATTTGCAACCACTCGGCCAACGAGTATTGTTCTTTAATTGTGTCTATAATGACGGTAAGCGCTTGTAGCCCCATGTACAAGACTTACACTGTATGTACACTGTTATATGCGAAAGGGTGTGTGTCTGTTTGCATGTCCGTCTTTCACTGCAAAAAGGAACAACAAATTGACGTGATCTTTTAAATGGAACTACATAGTATAGCTGAAAATATGGAGAGTGACATAGGCCACCTAAAACATCACATACCATCAAAAGGAGCCGAGTAACGCGCGGGATTAACTATGTAGTATAGAAATATGAGTCGCGGAGAACCTAACGGGTAACCGGGGCTCCGGCTCGACGTGCAGGAGAAGAAACGGGGTGGTTTTTAGTCAGTAAGAGTCTGACACTCCCTTCCGCCTCACCCAGGCGGGAGCAGTCATTCGATGATTTTCCCCCCTTACAAAAAAAATAGTATAGAAATATGTACGCGAAGCCCATATATGTATAATTAAGTTATCAAATTCTCTCGGTTCATAGCACTGGTAAAAATTTACATTGTACGCAAATCCTTATGTAATTTTGTGGCAATCGGAAGCGAATTGATTAATGGAACACCTAATGCGCCTAACACGTATTGCTGTCTTATTACAGAGGTCAATGTAGCGGAACTTGAATTATGATTTAATCTAAGTGTGGGAGAGCCATGCTTCGGTACGAATGGGCCGGCTCGACTGGAATGATACCACGGCTTCACAGAAAACCGACGTGAAACAACACTTGCGTTGTCTTTAGACGTGAATACTCAAATTCCCAATTCCCAAAAGGCCGGTAACGCACTTGTAACGCCTTGGTGTTCCAAGTGTCCATGGGCGGCGCCGATTACTTACCATCAGGTGATCTGTCTGCTAGTTTACCTGCTTATGCTATAAAAAAAAAAATGTCAACTTTACTGTTTGTTTGTGCCCATGGACACTCAGAAAAGCCATAAATGCATTGTAAAAAGAAGTATACATATAAATAAGCCCTAAGTCTAGTTTCTCGTCCGACAAATATGTACTAGATCGTGGCCCATGTGACCTAAAGGCGTGCCAGCCGGTGCTCCTACCTAGGCGTCCGTAGTATTGCGCGCGTTTTTACACTAAAATTAATTCCCGCGCGAATTCCAACTGACAGCCGACCGCCATTTTGGAAAATGGCTTCAAAACGAAACGTATATTCTCGGTGGAAAAAGACTGTTGAAAATTCCTTGTGTATAGGATCTCTGTATACAGTAATCTATCTATCTACTCTTTTTCGTAGAGATATTGATGATCAATCTACGTTTTTTTGTTAAAATAGATAGTTGATCAACTCCGAAGACTCGATCATAAAACAGCACGTCAAGTTGGTATTATCATTAAGCTTGGTTTTAACCCGTCGTGTGTCTAAACGCGGATCCACGCGAGACACTATGTATTTTCTATTGTGTCTCATATCGGTGCATTCAAGTCAATAAATATTCGACCATCCTTCAATCCCAAAAATTTACAATATATTTCTAGTGTAAATATAACCAGAGGTATACTATCGAAAATAGCTGTAGTCTTGTCTCGATCCGTAGCACCAGCTGCCTCGCTAATTGTCAGCTCCATTATATGGATTTAACTTAACTATGTACTAAAATAACTTAAGAAATAACTACACTGTTGCTCCACATACCCACGTAACAATCATTGCTGTGGATCAATCGTTTATAATTGATATACCTACCTTTTTTTTATTTTTATTTTTTTTAAGCGGGGAAAATCATCGAATGACTGCTCTCGCCTGGGTGAGGCGCGGGAGTGTCAGACTCTTACTGACTAAAAACCACCCCGTTCCTTCTCCTGCACGTCGAGCCGGAGCCCCGGTAACCCGTTAGGTTCTCCGCGACAATTTATTGATATACCTAGGGTTCGAAACTGACTTTTAGACACCACTGACAAACGGTGAAGGAAAACATCGTGAGGAAGCCTTGGGCTTACAAATTCTAATTATAAGTTTGTAATAGCCGACCCGCATTGAGCAAGCGTGGTGATTAATGCTCAAATCTTCTCCGTGTGAGAAGAGTCTCTGCTCAGCAGTGGGCACTTATAGGCTGTTGATGATGATGCCATCAATTATTGGAGTCTTTTTAGTTTTTCAGTAATAGCCCGCAGTCTAAAATGCTGCCCGGTACCAATATGACAATAGGCTCACCCCCTATGACATCTCTGATCAGGCGAGCTGAAGGCTTGTTTGCACCTCAATTGTAAGTAATAATATACACCTATCTAATAAAGTTAATAAATTATCTAAGATAGATATTGACTTAAATTCTAAGGTAGGTACCCAATATCTAGGTCTAGACATATTCCCTCATAAATATGAAATAGTCTAGTCGCTAAAGGAATGCCCCAAACGGATGCTATCCAGTTCTTAAGAAGGGCGTAGACTCTCTACTTTGGTGATTGAGATCAATTTAACTTTGTAATTAGGTTATCTAAGCTCACATGTGTTAATCAAATCAGTAAAACCTCAGTTCAGTTAAAATGTACTGATTATTTGAATAATTCATTAGTAATTAACGTTATTTATTATGTTTTGGTATGTTAAAGGATGTGTGTAACACAGGTAGTGTCCATTACATTACAAAAAATGTTATGTGATACATGCCATACAGGTATTTTTTTAAGGGGGGAAAATCATCGAATGACTGCTCCCACCTGGGTGAGGCGAGAGGGAGTGTCAGACTCTTACTGACTAAAACCCACCCCGTTCCTTCTCCTGCACGTCGAGCCGGAGCCCCGGTTACCCGTTAGGTTCTCCGCGACATGCCATACAGGTATACGATCACGTGACCGTCCATGGACTCCCAACACCACAATAGTTACAAGCGCGTTGAAGAACTTTAAAAGGTTAGTCCAGTGACTGTTGACTGCACGGTTGGTGCGGTGGCTGGGCAACCGGCTGCCGTGCAACGTGTCGCGGGTTCGATTCCCGCACGGAACAACACTTTGTGTGATCCACAAATTGTTGTTTCGGGTCTGAGTCATGAGTGTCATGTGTATGTGAACTTTATGTTTGTAAACGCACCCACGACACAGGAGAAAATCCTAAAGTGGGGCAACGTTTTCAAAAAAAAAAGTCGCGATTGTCAGTCAAAGGGTATCGAGTTCACTAAAAAGTCATACGTAATCAATTTAAATAGTTTTATTATCAAATAAATAACTTAAGTCTATGAAACAGTCATACTTACATCAAATACACAATTAATAAATACACACATTTCCACTTAATTACATAAATACACATTTTTCATGCCTATATAATAAGTATCCAGTCTATGACTCAAATGGCATTTAAGTAATAGTCTACCGAGAGAATAGAAAACTTAACTAATGGGCTTTTTAAGAGGGGAAATCATCGAATGACTTCTCCCGCCCGGGTGAGGTGTGAGTGTCAGACGCTTACTGACTAAAAACCACTCTGTTCCCACTCCTCCTTTTTGAGCCGGAGCTTCGGAAACGCGTCTTCCGCGGATTCGTATCGGGCATCAGCCCTACTGGGCCCCATCTGAGGTGGTCTGATAGCTCTTTGAACGCGGAACGTAACGCGCTGTACCAACTTATGAGCTTGAGGTAAATTTTAACACAATGCCTATAGATATTATGTCCGTTTCAACCCCGTACATTGAAGTTTTCTATTCTCTCTAACGACAAGCACTTACGTCAATACCATTTCACTCATAGCACTTAATCATCAGTCTAGACTCTAGATCATTATTTCTAGAACTAAATAGAACAGCAAATTGTACGTTCGAGTCTGGAAAACTTGAAATGTTAGTACCGTGTTATGACGGCATAGTAAATACATTTGTCAACACCGCTGCTCTTCTCATGGGTGTCGCTTATTTTTTTATTTTTTTTTAAGGGGTGAAAATCATCGAATGACTGCTCCCGCCTGGGTGAGGTGGGAGGGAGTGTCAGACTCTAACTGACTAAAAACTACCCCGTTCCTTTTCCTGCACGTCGATCTGGAGCCCCGGTAACCCGTTAGGTTCTCCGCGACCGTTAGGTTCTCCGCGACATGGGTGTCGACTAAGGGACACATTGGGGCGTACCGTATTTTTTCTTATGAGATGTCGCTGATGTGGTCTTATGTCTCAGTGGCCACTTATAGGCTGTTGAGGATGAATACATAATATGATTTGTATGTTCTTTGAGTAGCTAACACACTAGGCCTATGATTATCTATCGTTTTCCAGACACGAACATAGTCCAAGCATAATTTAAACCAACCAACTTGTTTAAAACATAACATTATTACGTTACTCTGCAGTTACTTTATTATGGACACAATCTAAGCGGTTTCAATAAGGATTTAATGATGAGGTTACCTATTTAGGATAGGCATTTTATACTGGAGCAAGGAGCAGATTATTGCAACCTTTAGAAATCTTTCAATGATATTTAAAATTTCACATAAATGTAGACAAAAATGTTTATTGTCCATATTACTATATAACAATACAGCGGTATGTTTTATCAGAAACAAATCTTATAGTTCGTTAGATTCACAGTTATCGAGTTGTTATTATGTCCAAAATCAATATTGTTTCTAATTATTTCTTGTCAAAAACTTAAGAAGTAATGTGCAGTGTGCCTCAAGAAAAATCTCAGTCAATGTCAAATACAATCAGCGAGTATGAGCACTCATTAAATTTCTACAAATAAATAATGTACTATCTAACTTACAATATGACTGCTAATCGCCTACAAATCACTCAGTCTCATTATCCCCACTGTTGGGTTCTGTACTCCCCACTTCTGAGGAAGTCTCAACTCCGACCACGGTCAGATTTTCCGAACTCGTTTCTTCGGTCACTGTAGCGTTGGCCGGTGTAGCGATTTCGGGCACGATCTCACAACGCTTGCCCGTGATGCCAGGCTGACAGTAACACTTGAAGAATCCGTCGCCAGACTCCAGAGATATACATTTACCACCATTCTGGCACGTGTCTGGGTTCTTCTCGCAGTAGTTCAGTTCTGGGAATATAGATATCGATTTTTATTTAGTTATGTGGATAGAAAAAGATGCAACCGTCATAAAGACGACAATCCTTACTAATATTATAAATCGGAAAGTGAGTTTGTTTGTTTGTTTGTTCCGCTTTCACGCAGTAACTACTAAACCGATTGCTTTGAATTTTTGCAGACGTAAAGTTCGAAGTCCGAATTAAATATTAACGTACTTTTAATCCCAGAAAAAAATGATTTTCCCGAGGGAAAACAAAAGTATTGGTATAGATGGCGCTGTGTGTATTGGTATATATCACATAGGCTACTTTTATCCTTTTGTGACGCGAGCGAAGCCGCGGGTGAAAGCTAGTAATTAAATAATAAGCGTAATCAATCTTTCAAGTAAGGCTACGAAGGCACATCTCAATTTTGATTTAGGTACAAAAAGTACACAAAGCACCGCTAATTAGTTAGCGGCGCTACACATCGACACAACTATCATTTACACAATATACATGTGTGGGTAATTTCATATCAATAGATATGTATAGAAACATTCGTCTATCACACACATCTTGGTATTTAAAAATCATTTTTGTGTCGGTATACGCAATAATTTAGTAAATAAGTTTAAATAAAAACGAGGGTAAAGATAAAATTACTCATAACAAACTTTGAATAAATCGAAATCAAAAATAATGAACGATCGAGCTATACAATACCCATATAAATATAGTGCTTTCTCATTGTAATTTTATGTTACTGAATGATATAAAATATTTCGATGATCTCATCTACAGCGCGCTTGGCGCAATGGTTATCGCCTCCAATTGTCAAGTAAAGTGCCGCCGGATCGATTCCAACATTCACATGTTGTTTTAGAATTAATTTATCAAATATTTGAAATTTGAAATTAGAAACAATTAAATCTTTTCTTTTTTTTTCCTTTCCTATTGTTCTAAATCTTATGTTAATTTTAATAGTAAATACTTTAGATTTATTTATACCTATAATATCTTTTATTTATATTTTAGTTCTAGTTATTTATTATTTAGAATAATCTCATTTGCTTCATGCATTTCAACCAACTTAAATAAGATAAAAACAGTAAAAAAGTAATTAACTGTGATTTCTTAATGGTTCGATACCTGAGTATATTTGCAATGTTTGTGGCGACCATAGAAATCTCGAGTCATTTTATTTTACACGCTTATGAAGTAACTACCGACTATTTAAAACATGTTTTTCAAATCACCCGACTTACAAAATAATTGCGTTCTTAGTTGTCAATTTATGAGGATTTCATAGTTTATTGCTACACTACTTATATTCGTGTGCAAAGTTATTTTTATTTTTACAAGATGTTCCAACACCTATCAACATTTAAAAAGGCTGAAACCATTGTTTTGCATGAGCAAAACATAACTAACAATAACTGAAATAGCAAGGCGTTTAATGATATCGGTGAGTAAATAAGATACTACGTTGATATTCTAAATAATATTTATTTCATTTTGTAACTCGACACACCTATCAATTTTTGCACTAGAATAAAATAATTATTGCAACTTATTATGAAGTTCAATATTATAAAGATATATTAATAATTTATTATTAATTGTATTGTAACTTGACTTGTTTTTGTTAGGAGTGTTTCTTTAAAACATATCTGGTTAGGGATTTTTATTCCTTACGCCACTACTTAATTATAAATTATTATTCTAACATTGTGTTTACTTATATTTATTATTATTTTTAAGTAACTTTAATTCCTGTAAAGTATTTCCTGGTATTTTAAATACTTATTTGTTTGGTATCAACAGAGGAGATCCATGCAGTTATGGGTGCACAGATATGCGGAGACCGGTGACGTTAAACATCGTCGACGTGGGCCTAAACCAAAGGCAAATTCATCGGCTCGGCACTACGACATCGTAGCCAGGCACATGGCTGATCCGTTCCTGCCAACCCGCACTACAGCGACAGCACTGAATGTTTTAATACAAACTGTACGGAGACACCTGCATTCTGGTTTAAGGTGCAGGAAGCCAGAGAAGAAAATATTGTTATCTGTGGTTCACCAGCAAAAGCGCTAAGAATTTGCTAAGGACTTTATTAATTTTGATTGGGCGAACAGTGTAATCATATTGAGCGACGAAAAGACTTTCAAGTCGGATAAGGATGGGCGTAAAATATTGTGAAGAAAAGATGGAGAAAGGTATACGAATTGCAACCTTCTGCCTTGTAGGATCAGTGATTGTATTGATTTCGGAATCAATTATTGAGCCTGTCAAACTCTGCCTTTATTAAAATTAACATAAAATAATGTTTAATTTTTTTAAGAATATTAAAATGCTGTCTAGAACATACGGTGAAGTGATGTTATTGTTTTGTGGTTAGAAATTGTCATAATTTCTTTCTATTCAACATGTTTATTCACTTCACTTTAATTTTTCATTAACAAATTTATTTAACTGCTTTCGAACTTGATTGACATATTATATTTACGCCCATCTTCAATTAATTTAAAGTTTCCCTGATTCTAAAGGTCATGAAAGTTAAAATCGTTCCATAGCATTCGTCACATTCTTTTTACTATCATACAGCCCACTGAATATTGAACCTTATAACAACCGTCGTAAAATAGATAATTAATGGAAGTTCAAACGACAAAAAGTCGCCCATTTCAAGAAATATTATGTTGACAGTGTAATTTTTTACATGTTTTACTTGTTTATTACTGTAAAACTGTAATTTAATAATACATTATATTATTAAATTACAAAACAAGAATGTTGTATATTTGTTTATTACCTACTTAATAAAAAATGTTGCTGCCATCGTATTACCGCTGTACCGCATGATATTTCCCGATTCGACTATGAGGTTTATTGTCATATCTATTAATTATGATTTAAAGAACTTTAAACTTAACATGTGGTATATAATTAATTATTAGATATAAATATTGAATATAAAACAACATATTTGTATAATAAATAAATTAATTGTAATAAAAAATAGTATTGTTTTATTTACCAACTCATTTGCTTCTTTTATAGCCTGATATTTATATTTTATGACAAAAAACAAAAAAAAAATAAGAAAAATAACAAGGTAAAATAAAATTAACTTTTAGCTGGAATAGAACCCACATCATTGATCCTTGAAAGACGATAAAAGCGTGCTCATTAACCAATCGACCACGAGCACTACGATAATGACAGTGAAAATGTCGGGTCATATCAATGATTGTAAAAAGTTTTAACCTTACCTATGCATTAAATTATAAAAATACGTATACCGACACAAGAATGAAAATACCAATGTGAACGTGGTGGACGAATATTTTTATATACAATTATATGAAATTACGCACACATGTACACTGTGTAAATGACAGTTGTGTCGATGTGTAGCGCTGCAACTAATTAGCGGTGCTTTGTGTACATCGCTGTTTGGTCACGGATTTTTATGCGATTGTCTATTTAGCGGACAAAATTACAACGGAGGAACATAAAGCCTAATGTCTGGCAGAAACCAAGGAAGCTAGACATTACCTTCATCACAAAGCATGCCTCCCCAGCCAGGTTCGCACAGACACTCCCAGGGTTTGTTGCAGGTGCCGTGCACGCAGCCAGGGTACGGGTGGCACTCGCCGCAGAAGGCGCCGGTCCAGCCCACCTTGCAGCGACACTCGCCAGGACGGCGGCAGTAACCACGCTCAGCGTGACACCCAGAGGCGCAGATAGCTGTAAAAAACAAGATATTAGTTAATTAAAGCAAAAGAATGAGACTTTGAAGACGTTCTGTTTCGGAAAATGTACATCTCGTCGTAATCAGAATGATCTTAGAAATTGCTATTCTCCTGAAACTTTCGCTTTTTAAAAATTCTCGGTATTAATAACGAAAAAAAATATTAAGTACGAGGTGCATGGCCAGCGAATGTTGATTCTGATGGTTGATCCTTCCTAAATGTCGGTTACTGAAACAGACACTGATGTTAAGATTCCTTTCAGCCCTTATTTATGTGACAGCTATCATGAGCGTTCTCTAGTAAAGATTATAATACTCACGAGTCTGACACAGCAGGCCAGTGTATCCCGGCAGACACTTGCACTCTAGTGGCTTGTCGCAGTAGCCATGTTGGCACCCCGGCAGCTGCTGGCACGAGCGACACGTTGGCCCCGCCCAGCCCAGCTTGCATCGGCACTCCCCAGGTGAATCGCAGAAACCTCGAGTCGCGTGACAGTCAGACCGACAAATCGCTGCACGAACATAATAACATATTTATAATGTAAAGAACAATTAGTTACAGGAGTTGCAGCGGTTTTGGAAGGTCCAAAGTATGTGGCGACCTTGTCTATAAAGAAATGACATGAATAACAATGGAAAGTATAGTTAGCTGCGAAGATTATGCCGAAACTACTATCTGTAAACTTGTCAAATTATTCGATAAGCATTCATATGCAAGATTGTTTCTGTACAATATATGATTATATGTATTTTTGGAAAAATTACAACCATTTGATTTGAGCAGCAAAATTCATCGGGCTTAGGGCTCGTACACAAAACTGCGATGCGACGTCGCATCCCAAAAATGTACGAGCTTCCTCTACGCATCGCAGGAACTTGCGAATTGATTCGCATCGCGCATCAACATCTTATTTCCCAAGATCTTCTTAGTTTCTTTTTCCTGTACCTCCTAAGCAGTAACAGAAGTGCACACTTCTTTTTACGATCCATATCACGACCTAGTTTTCAAATTAATATACGTTTAGTACGGTTGACGCTCGTCGAAGGAATGGTCACACTGGCAGACGACTTGTCGCACGAAAACGCATCGCAGCAATTCGCATCGTAATATCTTGCGTAGCGAATTCGCATCGCATTGCATCACAGTTTTGTGTACGAGACCTTACTGAACTTCGTGTCTCATTAGTATCATTCTCATACGGCGTAAAGCCTGAGTGTACAATGTATAGTCCTAACTCTAAAGTAGTAAAGTTATGTTGAACTAACGTTCAGAGCAGAACAGTCCGTCCCATCCCTCCTTGCAGATGCACTCGAAGGACTCATTGCAGTAGCCGTGCTGACAGCCAGGCAGGGGGATGCACTTGTTGCAGCGGTCGCCGTAGAAACCTAGCTTGCAGCGACACTCGCCTGGGCGCTTGCAGTATCCTGGTAGTGCAAAACAGTATTTTATTAAATATCAATTTACTACATAAGTTGAAATAGAAAGCCTTAAGAATTTTGTCAATTTGTTTGTTTTAATTACAATCTGCAAAATGTAATCAAAACAAACAAAGCATTCAGAACAAAGTTAAACAACCTAACGGGCAGTCAATAAGTTCGTGTTTGTAAAAGCTCAGCGATGATAATAAATTCATTTGGAGCGCTGTGGTTATCAAATAACTGTAGCTAAGATGGCGGCCCGGCTGGTGCACAAAAAGTTTTGCGGTACAATCGTGGATCGCTAATGAGCTGAACAAAACGGGACAAGCCGTTACCTCTCAGGGAAGGTACGTTTAGTCATTGTGCCAGTTTCAATGATGTCTTGTTAATGTCATGTCAATTGAAAGTGTGAGAGTTGCGGTACTTGCATGTTTGTACATACAAATGGATTGGCTTAACTTTAATATTGCTCAATTCACTATGCCTAACTGGACACTAGAGTTACAAACTTCTATCTAATTAAGTATTGAACATAATGTATATGTATTATAGTAGAAGCCTAGGTACCTATACAAAATTGAAAAATGGGGCAAAGACTTGGAAGTCTTTTTTTTTTTTATTTTTTTTTTTTTAAGGGGGGAAAATCATCGAATGACTGCCCCCGCCTGGGTGAGGCGGGAGGGAGTGTCAGACTCTTACTGACTAAAAACCACCCCGTTCCTTCTCCTGCACGTCGAGCCGGAGCCCCGGTTACCCGTTAGGTTCTCCGCGACTCCGAATCGGCATCGGCCCTATTGGGCCCCATCTGTGGTGGTCTGATGGCTCTTTGAGGCGCGCGCGGAACGCGACGCGCCGTACGCTCGGGTAAGACTTGGAAGTCTAGGAACCCTTAATTTATCTTTAAGAGGTTTTCGTACAATTTCAAAACATAACACAGATAGCTACAGTATCAATACCGATAATATGAGGATAAGAAGCCTCACCTCTACTAGCATACGCCAAATTTTATCATTTAAGGCATGCGTAGACTAGAGACGGAAACTAAGAAAAGTCTAAGGGTACCCTGCATACAATTGAGCAAATGCAACCAGACAAAAGTTCCTCGTTGGCACAGTCCCTACGCTTTTCGTAATTCTGTGGTGTAGAGGAACCTCGCAACACGTGCTTAGAAAACATTATAAACCATCTTATCTTTTCTATTAATCCTTACTTCCTTACTTATATTATAAATCGGAAAGTGAGTTTGTTTGTTTGTTCCACTTTAACGCCGTAACTACTTAACCGATTGCTTTGAAATTTTACAGACGTAAAGTTAGAAGTCCGGTTTAAATAATAGGGTACTTTTATCCCTGAAAAATTTGATATTCCCGAGGGAAAACAAAAATATTGGTATAGATGGCGCTGTGTGTATTGGTATATGTCACATTGGCTTTTTATCCTTTTGTGACGCGAGCAAAGCCGCGGGTAAAAGCTAGTGAATCATAAAGCCACACAAACCTTGCAAAGGATCACATCCTTTCTTGCAAATAGGCACATCGCAGAGGTCTCCCTGCCAGCCAGGCAGGCACTTTGGCTCCCCTTTGTCATCGCAGATGTAGTGGCTGTGCTCACTCTGCACTGCCGGCAGCTCACACGCCTGTCGAATACGTACCGTCTTACAGAAGGTAGACGAAACAGATGTTAGTTAGAAGGTAGTGTATAGAGAATAGATCGAAACGTGCACAAGTTTGTTATTGACAAAACATTTAACTTTCAAAGAGTAGTAGTGCAAAGTTTGCGCATGCAAAGTGATTGAGATATTATGTAGGCTTATAGGAATGACCACAAGGATACTTATGAGTTCAAAACGTTTTTAAATTTATTCCACGTTAGGCAGGATTCCCCCTTGTATTGTGGGTTAGTTTACGAACACATATCTAGCTAATTTTACATACAGGTACATAATGATTCTATTAAAGACATCTTTAGTGTTAATTAACCAATGAATTACAATTCGCCAGTACATATTTTAGAGTTGGATAGAATAGTAAATAGCCAAGATGCGGTTAGTTTGATATCAAGTTAAATGTTCTAGATTTAGTGTGATTTATTTAGTGGATCGTGTTCGTGTAGCAATTGTGGAAGATGTGCCGTACGCAGGTAGAAAGCGATGGGCTCTCCTTCAATCCTAACATCAGGATGCACGCATCTCGCTGACTCACCGCAGGAACTTTCTAATATGAGTCGCGAGAAAGCAATGCGAAAGTAGGCCGCGGGAAAACGCCGGTGAAAACATTTACCTACTCATCTCTTGTTTACTATTTATTTTAATCATGTGTTACTTCGGTGAACTACTTAAATAATAAACAACTAATTATATTACCTATTTTAAAAAATCTACATTAATCCATTAAATTATGTAATCAATCTAGTTTTAGTTCTCTCGATCCACGTGAGTACAATTATATTGGTTGATGTTTTCTTTCCTACCTAAATGATTTTTTTGTTTTAAACACACATTTGATGAAACAAGATATTAATTAGGAACTTTGTAATTGAAGTTCATAAAATTTTAATATTATGTTTACTATTAAAAACCAATAAATTGAAAACGTTATGAGTCCTAAGTCGTTAATTTGTTTCTAAGCTTTTATAATTAGCTTCTGCTAAATCCATTGCTAGAAATTTGCTCTAGATTAACACTCATCTCACATTATTTTATTATCAAACAATCCTAAAATATGAGAATCAAACGGTATAAATAATTACATCACTTATAAACAATAATCAAAGTAATTACCTGCTTCTTCCATTTGGGCAAATGTTTGGCCGGCAGCACAGTGCTGACACAACATGTAACAACTACTAGAAGAGTCCACATCTTCGCTCCATGTACGAGCAGAGACTGCAGGCGAGCGGTGCAGCGCGTGAGTCGCCGCGGTACTGTTACGCCGTGCTATTGAACTTCACGATAGCTACTTTCGCCGCAGTCGCTTTTTACGAGGCCATTAAAAGTGAGGTTTAAGAAAGTGGTTTCAACGCTAACGCTGCGCTGACTCAAGTGGGAGCTGTTTATTTATGTGACTTGACTTTAGATTCGTGTTTGTTTTGATTTCTGTTTCTGTAGGGCTGGTTATATGTAGTCGTTGTTGGATTTCTCTCTCACGTTGTGTGCTATTGGACTCCTCGCTGATTTTATCAAGAACAAGAACATTGCTGTTTAGCTATTCGGTCGTTATTTTACAAATAAGACAAACAATAAGCTTGCGTTTATGAAATTTTTTCGTAACCCTAAATCTAATCAGATTGCTCTAAATTTCATCGACGGAACGAATAAGTTGAAAGCCATGCTTGCCTACTTAATTTACCAGCAACATGCATAAACTGTATAAAATATACCCGCTACTCTCATGGCCTGTGTGTAATCAATAAAATTTCTACATAAGTAATCGAGTTACGAATCTCATTGCGGGCGCCGGTCGAAGAGATACTAACAGTAGCTACCCTTCAGCCAGTACCTATAGAACTAAGACATGGAGCATAGACTAGTTCTAGCATTTACTACGGGTCCTGTACAATGGGGGAACCCTGCGTAACCGAACATATTCTTTCAGTCAAACTTATAAGCTTTAGAACTAATAAGTTTTGAAATCACTTACCGCTAATAGATAGTCCAATTCATATTTCGTACTTTTAGGGGCATCTGTACGAGATTGTCTATCGGGTACGGGTCTTTAAATATTCTCAGTAGTAGCACGGAGTCTGGAATTGTGCCCGGTATATGGCAATAGGCTCACCTCCTATTACATGGGACTCATAACATAAATAGTGAAAAGTGGGTGTTACATTGTACAGTGGTATAATGTGCACCTCTGCCTACCCCTTCGGGGATAAAAAGGCGTGATGTTATGTTATGCTGTACGAGATCGAAGGCCCCTCTATAGAATTTGCTACAACCCCCACTGATTACTACTCCACTGCCTTCCGCGTAGCTACAAGCAAATTGATAAACCTCGCAATTAGGGCTTCCATCCCGGGAGTCTCGGTCTCGAAAATCCCGAGAGTCTCGACGATTTTTTCATGTTTTCGAGACTCGAGACCTCAGCTCCAATTTTCGAGAATTTCGAGACTTTCGAGAGTTAGTTCAATAATCTACAAAAAATACCAATCTACTAAAAAAATCTACTAAACTACCATTATTATTTTAATTAAGTGACGTGGCAACACTGTAAAGTGAAAGTTAGGATAATCTGTGGAGCTTGCAACTTAACCTCAAACAACATACGTTCACATCACAATAAAACGCTTATTGTATGTTTATAAAAAGTGTGAATTATATAGCTTGGCAACAATGTGTTCCTTAGCAGAGAAATTGAAAGGTATGTGTCTTATTCATGTTAAAAGTATACGTCACAAACAAAATCATTTTAGTTTAAGAACAGCTAGCGTGTGAGCTTGAAAACTTGCTAAAAAATAGAAACACAAACTAGCACCCATGACTTGCAAACGACTTTGCATGTAGAAAAAGCTCTCTTTGAGAACGGTGGTGACAGAGGTAAGCATTTAAATCAGTGCTATAATTATTTACTATCCATCCCCCCTACTAGTGTCGAAGCAGAGAGAGCTTTTTCAAATGCAGGGTACTTTTGTAACAAAATCAGATCCTCTTTATCTGAAAAGTCATTGAATGCCCTTTGCTTTCTGCGTGCATATTTTAAAAATGAAAAATGTTAATTTTATATAATACATTTGTTTTTTTTTGTAATAGTTGATTAAACTGTCAAACACCAAGCGGTCCCCGGTGACCGCAACCTATTGTTCTTTAATTGTGTCTATAAATACGGTACTCGACGAGTTAATAAAGTGCATAATTGAAACATATTGTTTTATTTGCCTAATTGTATAAACCTTGAGTATGAAACTTATTTAGTCTCGAAAGTCTCGTTTTTCCCGGGACTCCCGGGACCGGACCCAGTCTCGATTTTTTTTCCCGGGACTCGAAAATGTATCGAGACTGGAAGCCTTACTCGCAATATAAAGTAACGGGCCTTAAAGAGGGTAAGTGGCAATCACGCATGTTCTCAGAAACGATATGAGGAAAAACATCGTTGAATCTTCACGATGCAAACTGTATAATGTATGATCGGTAGTCGAAGTCGCGTGTTTCTTATTGCAGTTGCATGCTACTTTGTTGCCAAACGGGGCTTTCGTGTTAATCGCAAGTACCAAATAGGTAAAGGGTAGATTTCTGTTTTTTTAAGGGGGGACAATCATCGAATTACTGCCCCCGCCTGGGTGAGGCGGGAGGGAGTGTCAGACTCTTACTGACTAAAAACCACCCCGTTCCTGGTCCTGCACGTCGAGCCGGAGCCCCGATAACCCGTTAGGTTCTCCGCGACTAGATGACACTATTAATGGGTTATCAATTTTTTTATTTAATTCTCGGTTATACTACTAACGGCAGTACCGTTACTCTTCTTAGTGTTCGTACGTTTTAATAGTTTTTATGTTGACATTCACTTAGTGATTCCATAAGATATAGTAGGTACCTGGTACTATAAAGGTATGAAAATTTAAACAAAAAATACCTCCACATATTGCCATTAATTTATATTATTTTTCCTTTCTATATACACTATAATTTTAAGCTATATACACACATTTTAGGTCCATGTTACTTTATCATAAATCTTACTGAAGCTCAGACAGATACAAAGTTAAAAAATACAGATATCACCGCTCTAGTAGAAACTATCATTACATTCTATGGAAACAAAAATCATCATGGAATTATACGAAAATACCAGTGCTTAGCTACAAACTTGGAAGATTATCTGTGGTACAAACTGTCAACGATAATAAATTAATTATGTTCTACAGCTTACGAGGCAACTCGACTAGTTTCAAGCCGAGCTAAGGGCCCATAGTCATGAGCAGCATTACGCCACAAGACGCCGTTAAACATGATTAATTTAACATCTCACAAGACTTAAAATACAAAAGTATTTCGACGATACTTATAGAAGAAATAACAAAAAAATAAGAAGAAATTCATAAAACATTGCACTAATCAAGAGTATTACTTTTTCATATATTTTTTTAAACATTTGTTTTAATATATTAAATTCCTTTAATGACATATTGTTGATAAGGCATGTACGTATTAGCACTCGGATTATATCGTGGATAATTATGTGAGACACATAAATGCTATACAGACAATAAATACTTGTTTACAGACTATAATAGTATAACGCATGTAGGTACATTTACAAAATAACAGTAAAATTCATAATCAAATATTTTTCATAACAAACTACTACCAAAAAGAATCATTTACAAGTAAAATGATTGCATATATTATTTTATCGATTTTAAGTCATGGCGTATACACGGGCCATATTTTAATCAGATCCTCAACTTTGAAAAAAGGAATAATAATAATAATTCACGTTAAAATCAAAATAGGGTATTTTCCAATTAGTCACATTATACGCAATGTCAAAAACATTATCAAAAATGTTTGTATATGATTGCGGGTTCAATATGACGTCATATTATTGCATCATGAGGTAATTTAATGTACCGCCAATAAATGAAAGTGTGAATTTCTGTGAATATTTAATAATATTATGTAGATATTTGACTGAGGGAAATACCCAAATAGACAGTATCATAGCAGATGAGTCATAAGACAACAACTTTCTTATTTCTGTATTTATTAGATTCTTATAGGTTATAAATCAAGGCGGCAAAACATGGAAAGATAAATATTTCGACCAATATTTGATCCAACAGTTTGTAACAAAACTTACATTGGACAAACATTATATTGACTCGATCATATGACATATAAAAGATATTCAAAGACATTACATTTAAATATATAAAGGACATGTACAGACAGACAGTATAACACATATTAATAGGCCGCATTTGAAACGTATATCAGTACTATATTCTTAATCAAACTATATGATGTAACAGTCCCAACTAATTTTGTTTATTCACTACTATTATCATTTTTAGGGCCAGTATTAAATTAAACTGAAAGATAATGTGTTTTTTATTTATCTGATAGTTTTTGTATCTCTAATAACGATTGAACCCACACTATTCGAGGGTGCTCGTCTAGTTTCAACCACGGCCGGGACTTATAAACAAAAGCAACATTCGTGATGACTAAGTTAGCTGCGCAATATAGACCCAAAGCCAAGTTTGAAACTAGTTGGGATAGTTCCCATTAGTATGTAGCCTAATCATTTTACTTTTGATTAGAAATTGTTTATGACATCTATATTAATACAAAACAGTTGAGACTATAACCAATACAAATGTGAGTTTATGGAATCCTCACGTTTTCCAACAATCAGATATCCTCTCTCGCTCTAAACTCAAGTATAGTTATTTGAAAAGGCGAGTAGTGGAATTACATCTTTGAATTCAATATACAGAACAAATTAGAATTCCCAAGATATTTCTTCTAATTTAATATTATCAGATCTGCTTTAGTAAATAATTTTGATATTTTCTACGCTATATTGTAATACATTAAAAATATTGAGTTTCATTTGAAAATTCGAATTGACTAATCAAAATTTTGTGACATTTCGTTACATTTCCCAATTATACTATGGGTATCACATATACACTTACGGCAACTGTCCACGTTGCGTCATTTGACGAATGCATCCTTCATTCCACGAAACAACAGGCGTCCTACAAATGACGAATGCTTGCATCTTGATAAGAAACAGTGAAAGCTGCCCACTATTCTACAACATGCCAATTGCTTGTAAAGGATCCATGAATTCGTTAAATGACGCAACACGAACAGTAGCCCTAACTCAGACAAAAAACTTGACGATTTGCTGACAAACTCTTTTATGAGCTTTGAACCACTTTTGTCTGAATTTAAAACACTCATAAATAATATTTTAAGTAATACATAAAACAAAAAGGAACAAAATAAAATGGAATGTATAAATACATAAATACTTTAGAAAGTTGTTATAAATATTAAGTCTATAATTTAACATAATAATAGTAGTTCAAGAAAAACTTGGTTTTGTATAAAAATAATGTTAAATTAATAATTGTGAGTTTCATAAGTTCATTTACTGTGTAAAAAATGCGTTGTGATTATGCGCAAATATTTTGCGCAACGATCGAACCGTAAGCGCATTACGAGTCAAGATTAGTCAGTTTAATATTGACAATGGAACATTATGTTTCCTTTTTTTAACTTAATATTGTATAAGTATTAGCCAAAATTGCGCAGAAGGAATGCATTGTTTGTTAATCAGAACAGACGAGTACTGTTGTTTGATTGAGACTGTTTTTATCTTCTTGCCAAGTCATATAAACGTTGCAGAAAGATTGCTTGTATTTTAGATCTATGCAGTTGGTAATACGGTTCAAATTAGGTAAAATAGCTGGTTGACTTTAAAGTGGAAACTTCAGTATATTTTTCCTTAAAGACATCTCTTTAAATTGTACATTACATTCTTTAATTCTTTAACAGTACATTTGTACTAGTTTTGAATAACATGTTAAATGCGGACAACGCAAATCATAACGATTACACTTTCAACATCTCCTAATACATCACATAAAAGATCAAAGTTTTCAAACCCATTGATAGATTTATTTAAACTTGAGATATTAACCTTAATCTATGATTCAACAATCATATTTCAAAAATTCAACAGAAATGCAGACTTTTTCAATTAATTCTGATTCACAGCTTACTTGCAACTGTTTGACGAAGTAACTGAACCCATTTCAACGCCACGCTGGGGGTATGTCATGGGCAACATTGCGCGGACAGCACTTATGCCTTGTTCACACTATGCTATATTTTAGTCAAGTAGCAAGTATTTAGTAACTCTCTCTCGCTTCGATTTTGGGACAGAAGCGAGAGAGATATACTAAACACTCGCTGCTACAAAATACTAACATAGTGCGAACAAGGCATCAGTGAAACTAGTAGTTTTCAAGTCAAACGGTTACGTATAGAAGCTGTAAACCATAATTAAAGAAATTGAGAAGTTCACGCTCACAGTACATACAGTAATTAATTAATTAAAGACAGTCCATTAACAATTAACAAGCCCGTAAAAGACGTTTTTACGAAAACTTTAACGACATAAATATTATTTCTACGCGCAAGAGACGTGTATACAGGCGAGACTCGATACAATTTTGAGTAATTGTGCGAGATTTCTTATCCATTTTTTAATAAAACCACTGATTAAAGAATTAAACTTTAATTACACTGTATTTATAGTTATTTCTGCAAAAAATCATATTTCGCTAGTTTTTTTAAGTCTAGCCTGTATACAAGCCCTTATAAATTGCAGCTCCCACACGTTTGCACAACGCACGATGTAATTAAATAACGAAACTGTTAATAGTCACTTAGTCACGTTATTAGAGTCTATGGGGAACCACTAGGACCTTCCTTATGTCTGTAGGGGACCACTAGGGCCTTCCTTATAAGTCTTTCTGTCGCGTATCTGTGTACAGCGGCACCTGTTTGTACTCCGGGAATGGGTATAGGACCAAATGGTCCGCAGTCTTGTACCAGGGTATCAGTCCGTTCTGAAATGAAAGAGAGAAATTAATGGGGGCTTCCGTTATCGGTCCTTAGATGGCACAAATGTAGATTTTTCAAGATATCTAATCACTGCAGCTTTCAAATATTTAACGTCCAATGGTGTAACACTAGCTAATCTGGTATTGGAGGAAAACGAGAGGTAAAATACAGTAGCTCCCATTCAAATTAACAGTTTTCTCACGTAAAGTATTGAGAATAGCTCAACTAGTTTCAAGTCACAACGGGACTCTCATGTCTTGTACACAACTGCGATGCGACGACGCATCGCAAAAATGTGCGAGCTACCTCTACGCATCGCAAGAACTTGCGAATTGATTCGCATCGCGCATCAAAATCTTATCTGCCCAAAATCTTCTTTGTTTCTTTTTTTTGTATCTCCTAAACAATAACAAAAGTACCTATGATACTAATGGTAAAGATAAGTATAAAAATAACTATAAAGCTTTCTACAGCTTTACATAACAAAACGAAGGGGTAGGCAAAGGTGTACATTACGGCACTTATGGCACTCTACAATGTAACGCCCACTTTTCACTATTTATGTTACGAGTCCCATGTAATAGGGGGTAGGCCTATTGCCATATACCGGGCACAATTCCAGACTCCGTGCTACTACTGAGAATTAAAAAAAGACACATTGTTACTATTCTGAATCGGCATATACAGCAAATAATTTCACAATTATACAACAAGGACTTGTTTATCAATTAGATAAACATTGGATGGTGAATTTAAGTACAAATTTTCTAGAAAATATTACAAGTTTTAAGTCGTAAATAAAATCTAAATTTAACTTAAATCCGAGTTCAATAACGTAGGTACCTAAATGCATTTATAATATTAATAATGGTACAGTAAGTCTCACCATGTTTGTTCGTTTGTTAGTGCCTCGACCGTAACCGTTCCAGTGGTTGCCCGCGATGCCTATTAAATCGCCAACCTGAAAAACGTAAATAAAACAAATTATTATTATAATACATATTTAAAGTTCGGATAACTGTGTAACAAAAATAATATTTTCTAAATTTAGCGCAATGAATCGCGTTAAGCTATTTTTCCATGACAGCACCATTTTCAACTTTTTTGTTGTCAGCAATGAGTCGAAATACGGTATATATTAATGTCTAAAGATTAACTATATTCGTTTAATGTACCTTTTCATTTGATAATTCATCATGTTAAACCATGTTCACCCTATCAATAAATACAAAAAAACAGTCAAAACATTTATTTTAATTAATCCTTGAAACGCCAAATCTGAATTGTCCGTCCGTCTGTCAGAGAAGCTAGGTGCTCGTTCCAAAGTGTAGTTTCGAATGGAGAAGAATGAGGAAGAAACTCCATGGTTTCTCTTTTAATGTTTTTTTACAATCTCATTGATACATTATCATTATTACTCACTATATATTAGGGGTATGATGGCTACACATAATTTATACGTCCCTAGTCCAGTAATGAACTGTCAGATGCAGTTGATGTTGTGTAATATAGTTACCTGGAAGGATATATCCTGATAGGCGCCATCATTGGGCATGACAGCGACTCTATCGTGTGCGTTCTGTCCGCCGAAGTAGTAGATGTCGTCGAGGGAGAAGAAGCTGTCTGACGCGTCCACGCGGTTCGTCTGCATCATCTCGTATGCTACTCTGCCGACCTACAAACAGATACATAATTATTTGTAAACTGTCCAGATACTTGTAGTGAAAAGCAGACAAGCCACTAATAGCTACTAAAAGGAGGAGGAGAGGAGTAGTACCTTAGTACTACTTCTTCCTTGTGTACAGAAAATACCTACATACATACATACACATGTACATCTATATAAATAAAAATGAATTTCTGTTTCTTAGTCTCATTAAAACTCGAGAACGGCTGAACCGATTTGACTAATTTTGGTCTTGAAATGTTCGTGGAAGTCCAGGGAAGGTTTAAACGGTGAGAAAATCTTCTCTTCGGCGTTACGAAGTTTGCCGGGTCAGCTAGTAAGAAATAATATTGTGTAAACGTATGACATTAATGAAAGCATAGTATTACTATAGTATCCTATTGAGGACCCTTTTTTTGTAAGTATAAAAACCAACTAATCAAATTACTAGTCCCACCCTATGAGAAGTCAGACGGAGTATCAGACGCCCATTAATTAAAAACCACTCCGTTTCGACTCCTGCTTCGAGTCAAGCCGCGGTACTTTATATTAGCAATCTACAGCTCTTTATACTAGCGGGTATCGACCATAGTTGGCGCGGAAAACGACGCACCGTATACTCCGGTCTGATTCTTACTACAACTGGTAGTTCGCCATCTGTGTGTGTGTACAGTGGCGTACTGAGGAACATTGTAGTTTCTACTTAAATATAAAAAGGCGCAAAGCTTGTATGGAATTAACTAGCTTGTGCCAGCGGCTTCGCTCGCGTTGACGTGAAAGTAACTAACAAACAAGCAAACACCTACTTTCGCATTTATAATATTAGTAGGATGTTTGTAACTGCCTCGATGGCCGAGTGGTCGCAAGTACGACTGCCGGGCAAGGGGTCTCGGGTTAGATTCCCGGGTCGGGCAAAGTATTACAGGGTTTTAAAAAAAATCTCAGTAGTAGCACGGAGTCTAGAAATGTGCCTGGTATATGGCAATAGGCTCACCCCGTATTACATGGGACTCATAACATAAATAATAATGAAAAGTGGGCGTTACTTCCGTGTGAACTTCTGCGTACCCTTTCGGATCGGGAAAAAGGTGTGATGTTATGTTATATTAGGATGTTTATACGCTGTCACTTGTGTATAATACAGCAGTGGAGTGGTGTACCTGGCTACTGAAGGTGCAGACGAGGTAGTCGCAGAGCGCGAGCAGGTGCAGGTCGACGAGCAGCCCCGTCAGCGACAGCGGCGTGTAGCGCCGGTGGGTCGCCGCCGTCTTGGCGATCGACGCGTCGCCCAGGAACTCGTACGACGGGTACTTGCTGCGGGCATCTTCCAATACCTGCGACATAACATACAGATTAACAAAACACTCATTCTCATACACAACAGAGAACAAACATTCACAAAATTATTTTTTTAAACGTTGCCCGACACTAGGATTTTCTCCTGTGTCGTGGGTGCGTTTACAAACATACAAGTTCACATACACATGACACTCAGACCCGAAACAACAATTTGTGGATCACACAAAGTGTTGTTCCGTACGGGAATCGCACGCTGCACGGCAGCCGGTTGCCCAGCCACCGTACCAACCGTGTAGTCCATAAATAATCCTATGCGCTCTCGTAAATTCTAAGGAACCTATAAGGTAATAGGTAGTACCTTCAACGATATTTTAGTTTTCATTAATGTATATGTGACACCTAACAAAGTGTTAGTTTAGGTTGAAGTTTAGGTAGATAGGTCAGCTTAGATGGCTATAAAGATTTGTTTATTGGGCATTAGTTCGTCACGCTAAGTAACTTTTAGTTAAGAGATGGATCAAAGGTGATTGGTCAAAACAGGCATTAGTCTATTGTCTTAATTAAGAGATGTCCACAGGCCATCACAATTATGCTAAATGAACTTTCAATCTTTGAATTAAGATCCATTTTTGACATTAGTGGTATGGTATAAATCAAGATCGATACTAGTAGTAAGATGACGATAATGTACTTTTTTAATCTGTCAAACACCAAGCGGTCACCGGTGACCGCGACCTATTGTTCTTTAATTGTGTCTATAAAACCGGTACTCGACGAGTTAAGGGGGAAAATCATCGAATGACTGCTTCCGCCTGGGTGAGGCGGGAGGGAGTGTCAGACTCTTACTGACTCAAAACCACCCCGTTCCTTCTCCTGCACGTCGAACCGGAGCCCCGGTAACCCGTTAGGTTCTCCGCATAATGTACTTACGTTAGCATCATCAGTAGCCAGGTAGACTCGCCTGACGTCGACAGGGCGGGTGAGCTCGAGCTGGTCGTAGTAGTCCTTGACATGCACCATGTACTCGTGGATGTGGTGGAAGGCCGCCTCCGTGCCCACCTTGTCTGTCCTCCTTATGTGGACTCTGAAAAACACGACATGTAGGTATAAAATATATTTGTTTCTTTTTTTTATATTAGGTTTCTGCGGACACTTGTCCATGCCCTTGTCATTAAATTACATTATATATATATATACTAGCGGACCCGACAGACATTGTCCTGCATATCCACTTGAATGTATAAACAAAAATTCATTCAAATTAGTTCAGCCGTTTAGGATAAATAACCTAGACAACGACTGCAGCGCCATCTGCCGGGCTGATCTAAACTATCCAGAGCGCCACTCAAACGCGTACAGAAAAATTCATTTAAATCGGTCAACCCGTTTAGGAGTTCAATGACATATACACGTACAGCAGAATTATATATATACCTAGCGGACCCGACAGACGTTGTCCTGTATATAACATAATAATAGGTATAGATAAATAACCTAGATATCGACTGCAACGCCATCTACCGGGCTGAATCTAACCATTCCCAGATCCCCTTGACCACACACAAAAAATTTCATCAAAATCGGTCCAGTCGTTTGAGAGAAGTTCAGTGATATACACACTCACAGAAGAATGATATATATAAAGATAAAGAAGATATACCCACCATAAAAATAATAAGTGAATTACAACACATAACAATAAAGCAACATTATGTGAGCCATAAACTCCCCTCATTATTCAGTAAATAAAACAGAAACAATACAAACTCTACCCATAACACCAGTAATAAATGATTATAAACCGATATGACGACGCACTTGCAATTAATTTTACGGAAAATTGACTTATCGCGGCCATAAAATTCGTTTAATTGTGTAGTTTTGTGTATGCGAATTTTAGCAATTATTTTCCTACTTACATCAAACTATTGATAACGGTTATTAACACTTTATTTTTTTTTACACACAGAATCGTAGGAATTGGATTTTGGTAAGTACATAGCCTCTACGTAGGTTGTGTATGTATGTATAATGCTAATTTGGGTATGTGCATTTCTAATTAAAAACTTGAATTTATGTGTCAGCATGATTATATGTAGATAGATACAATTAGTGCAATAGCTAGACGACCAGCTTTGCAACGTCGCCGGTTCGATTCTCGTATGGAACAAGTCTATGTGATATATATAAAGGATTGTTTGAGGTCTAGGTGTGATGTGCATTGTGCATGTGAAATCACATGTTTTAAGAAGCATACACGACACAAGATAAAATCCTAATATTTACGTTTTTAAAAAGAGCCTTTATTGTAGACTGCAACCTCTTTATTCTCCCTACAAAAAATCCGAGACCGCACTTGTAACAGACTCATTTTTTGTTCCATGGGCACCCGTGAGCGGCGCCGATTGGTTATCTGTCTTATGTCGGAATACTGAAACGCTACTCAATTTTAAGTCGTGCTTAAGTATAGTATAGTTCTATCTCTACAAATTCTTTGTAAAATGACAGAGATGGCACGATATTTGAGCACGACTTAAAATTAAGTAACGTTTCAGTATTCCGGCAATAGAATCTGTTTCAAAATGTCTGGATAGCAGATATGTGCCAGAATATAGAACGTTATTTGTATGGACTATCTGTCGCATAAGTAAGAGACTTATTTTCATGAAGGCCATAAGACGTGAATATAGTTGTTGCTTACCCAACGATAGGTTTCTTGAAGTTCATCTTAGCTATAGTGTCATTGATGGCTTTCTGCATCGCCTGCCGAGGCTTCAGAATGTATTTCAGCATCTGACCTATCCACCATGACGATGGATCACCGTTAAATCTCGTTATCCTGAGAAAAAGACATCAAATATCATTTGTAAAAGATTAAAATTTAAAACTGCAAATCTTTAATTTTTTAATAACGTAATTAAACTGTCAAACACCAAGCGGTCACCGATGACCGCAACCTATTGTTCTTTAATTGTGTCTATAAATACGGTACTCGACGAGTTAATAATGTTAATTTGACGGCAAAAATAACAATTTCATATCATACATAGTTTAATGTCAATTTTAATTGAAAATTTCTTGTCGTATTCCTTATCATATCAACGCGTTTATTAGTACAAAAAATATGACATTAGACATACATGATACACCTTGATAACCTCAGTCTTCAGTTCAAAAATGAAACTAAATGACCTACATATCTATGGAAGTTTACTCTGACAGATTGATTATGTTCAAACTAAATATCAACTCACCTATGCGCCAAATCCTTAGGAATAGCGAGCGGTAAGAACTTGGGCTTCTGGGATATCGAGTCTATAAACGTCAGAGCTAACACCTTGGCATCATACGTTACTGAAATAGAAACAATGATCCATTAAAATAAAATTCTATTTACAGTGACCAGCAGTTACCTACCCTTTTCTTTATATCTTTGTTAGATTTTCAACAATATTGTTTTTGATATAAACGCGGAAACCGATGAAAAATATTGGCAAATTGGTATAGGTTGACCTGCTGGGCACTGTACATTCATATAATACACAGAATACAATCTATTGTGAATACCAATACTGAAATATTTGTGTACTTGATAGCCACATACATAACTGTTTACGAAGACATTATACAATGTTATTGCATTTTACATATTATACAAATAATAGTTTTACATAAAGTAACTACATAAGATATATGACTTAGATTCATAGCGGGTTAGCTATTGATCTAATACTATATAACAATATATATTACTCAAGAATGGGTGATACGACGAGGTTAATTAGTCATAGCCAATTTACCAGGACAATGTTATCAAATTTCAAAGCTTTTGTACGTTTTTAATGCAATATTTATAGAGCGCACTGAAGAAGCACAATCTATACACTTTAAAATATTTTTTTGTATAAGATATAAGAACGAATTTGTATCATTACTCAGTTATTTGAATTGTATTTTTGATAAATTAGAATTTTAAAGACTAGGCTGGTGTTCCCAGAAACATTAAATCTGACAATACAATACAATAATAACATTAACGACTATACTTAATTGTTGAACAGAAATACGAACAATTCCTTGTTCAAGGCCACAGTATTGTGATATTAACATGAGAAAAGATTGCGTCATCTACAAGTAATACTAACAGACAGGATAACATAATATTTTTATTTGACAAGTAAGTCACAACTACTTCAATAACTCGATGTTTCAATGAAGCCCCGTTAGCATTGTGCTTGTGACGTGTATAATCAACTCATTATTGTTTTTATTGTTGTAAAAGACAATTTCTGTGTACGAGTTTGTGTGGTTGTGTGATGAAGGAATGAAATTTGTTTATACAAAAGTAGTCTCTAAACATCGGAAATAGGGTCTATAATGGAGTTTGTAGAGAGCGGTCACCGGTGACAGCTTGGGGATTGATCAGTTAATGGAACGTTGCCTTTAACTTGGTTGGAGTAAATCCTTGCCGAACAGGTCATGAGAACTCCGTAACTGGTCGATTTAGAGGACCAGATGTGGACATCTTTTTTTTTTGAGGGGGGAAAATCATCCAATGACTTCTCCCGCCCGGGTGAGGCGAGAGTAAGAGTCTCGTCAGACTCTTACTGACTAAAAACCACCCCGTTCCTACTCCTGCACTTCGAGCCGGAGCCCCGGCAACCCGTTAAGTCTTCCGCGTTTTTTATAGATACGATTTAGAGAATCGTATCTATAAAAAGCTGGACCTTATGGTGTGCTAACAGTGGTGTGGCCACCGTCGTTTTAATGTGGTAATAAACGCACACAATCTCTGGTTCCCCCCCCCCCCCTCTAAAAGTTAACCTTTTTAAAGACTTCGACCTCATCAACAATAAAGTATGAACAATATACATATCTATCACCTCGCATAACCACAAGGCCTCGTTTTCACATCAGTTCCCCTTTACATACATCCCAGAATAATACATAATTATAGTAAAAAGTTTACATAGCCAGTCTACTGGTGCAGGGACCCGTTGCATATCCTCGGGACATTCTTCGAATATAGTTACACGTTTCTTAAGACATATACCGCGAATATCTGGCATATAAAAAAAATCAAACGTTAATGAACATTTAATAAAAGTATGGGGATAAATATAATGACCACCATAAAATGCTTTGACACCCTTAGTTTTGTAACCAAAAATATCTACTTAACACCAGAAAAATAAACTAACTCAACTTTAAATTGTATTCGACCACCAAATTTAGTAAATGATCACCAAATCTTGATAGGTTAGGTTTTTTTTTAAGTGGGGAAAATCATCGAATGACTCATCGGTTCTCCGCGACAGGTTAGGTTAGGTTAGGTTTTAAAATGTTGGTTTAATTTTAGTGATCATTTACTATTTTGGGGTTACTCATGATTTACTTGGAGTCATTTTACTTAAATAGGATAGCAAAGTGTTAAAACTTCGGTTATAATTTTACGTTAAAATGCGAGTTTCATTTTGGTGATCATTTACTATTTTTGTCTGCTATTTGTTATTATATCTGGTGGTAAGTTAAACATAAGCCTAAAAGTATTGCTGATGACAGCTTTTTTTTGCGATGACTTGAGGGCACCACTAACGAATATAGCACCGTATACCGTATGTATGTACTGACGTTTGTACTGACTGTTGTATTCTGTCAGATGTCAATTCTCAATTAATAGAAACTTTTTATTTCGGCGACTATTGCCACTGGACTTATCGAACAAAGAGACTCACAAGCCAGAATCAGACAGAAGTACTTGAGACAAGCATAATGCAAACGAGACCGCAGAATCCAATACTAAAATAAAATAATGTATACAATTACACGCTGGAGCCTGTGTTTGTTGAGTTTTAAGAACAAGGCTTTCTATAAACTCCCCGTAGCTGTCCGCGTTGTCTATTAAAAGCTCTTTGACTGCCAATCTTGTTTTATCTCGAAAATAAAAAAATATGTTTTTCAGTTTATACCTTCTGTCGTTATAATATAAAACTAGCATTATTGAATGAAGAATGGAGATAACTATACCTACGTATAACTATGTTCAAATAAATTTAAGATTCTAATGATGTTTCAACAAATACTTATACGTAATAATCGTAATGTACAACTTAACTCCACTATATGCGTCTACTCCATACATTACTGAAACAGTAGTGGAATGATCAAGTACGTACATTTCCTAAGGTTTAATACCTTGGCTCCTCTATTTACAATTGTAAGTAAAAGATCTTTCGCTGAAATATAAATTTCGTAACGTTCTTATTCATAGAAAAATAGTCATTTTTGTGGACGATTTATGGCCGCCACTTCGAACTTTTGTTATAGATAGTGTAACTAAGACGACTTTCTTTTATATATATAAATATATATATGTGTATAGATTTATATTGTTCTAGTTACTCTAACTTAAGGTATATAAAGAAAAATTATTACGTTTATAAGCTGAAATAAAAATGCAATGGATTAATGAATGAAATGTTGAAGCTAATGGTAACTTAAAATAGGGATGATGGCAGGGTATGAAAATTAAAAATCTAATTATTCCGTCAGTTAGGTATTTAGACACGTATTTTTTATTTTGTCGAAAGTATATCGTCGAAAGTATCTACGTCCGTATGAAAATAAAAAATACGTATCCAATGATTTTGAATAATCTACCAGACTGACATTAAAATAAAAAATAGTCATCTACCCTTATTACTTTGAGTTTAATTATGGCAGGAATAATTATACTGACAACTGATACTGCGAGATGTGTCTTTCCAACAGACTTAAAAAAGAAGTATGATCTTAGTTCGGTAGCTAAGTTTCTTAAGAAAATATGATCTTATTGAAACTATATGAACTAAAGTAAAAATAAAGAAAATCGCAGTACCTTCACCCGAGTATTTTTTATCCATTTCTGAAACGTAATAAAAAAACTAAAACGTGAATATGAAACAGACTATGTTAGAGTACCTACATTATTACATAATTATTTTTGTTACAACAGAATGGTGAAGAGATAAAAAGGTATTAGGATACCATTTCATCCTACCAATTCGTTAATTTTCCTTCATTATGAAGGGTCTTGTAAGGATTTATTGTAATCCTTGTAGGATTAGGATATTATGATCCTGGTCGACTTAACCTAGAAAAGCTGGCACACTACACTTGACACATTATTTTGGCACAACATTTGTGTTATTCTTATACAACAATGTTACATTTCCGACGATATTTATAAAATGTAAAAATTATGTACAAACAAATGATGAAGAACTTCCTAATAGATTAAAAATTTTGCAATGTATGTGACAAACATTTGACCAAATACGCATGCCAAGTGTAGTTATTGGTCCACACGTCCACAGGTGGGGTTCACTAGGGCCGACCTGACCGAGGTTTTGGGCAAAGTTACCGTTGTTAGACGGGGTCATTTTTAGTCAGTAAGAGTTTGACTCCCACCCACTTCACCCAGGGTGGGAGGACTCAGCTAATTATGTTAATTTTCTAATAAAGTTCAGTTACTGATAAAAGATGTGCTATCTACCTGGCCACATAACAACTTTGTCATCGTATGCGCTGGTGCAGGTGTCAGATATGGGCATGAAGACATACTCCCAGCCCTTGTTGTTGTACCTCCATCCTTTCGAATTGAGTATGAGGGTGCGTTCCGTTGCATACGCGAAAATGAGGCAGTATACTATGTGATGTAACTGGCAACCGAAGCCGCAACCCTGTGAATAAAAAAAACAATTATGTAAATAAACAAACATAACATCACGCCTTTTATCCCCAAAGGGGTAGGCAGAAGTGCACATTACGGCACTTAATGTCAGAATACAATGTAACACCCACTTTTTACTATTTTTGTTATGAGTCCCATGTATGAGCCTATTGCCATACACCGGGCTCATTTCCAGACTCCGTGTTACTACTGAGATTTAAAAAAAAACCCAGTAATACTTTGCCCGGCCCGGGAATCGAACCCGAGACCCCTTGCCGAACAGTCACTCTTGCGACCAACCGGCCAACGAAGCAGTCTACAAATAAACTTTTCAAATTTTAACCTAATATAATATCAAAGTAACTTGAACTTAGTGATATTAACTTTAACAACACAATATTTTGGAAACTAAAAAAATCCGCACAAAGAAATATTCATTATCTATTCATCTACCCAATTAGATCACCACGACCTTCCAGAGATCTTTCACCTCTATCCAAAGCAATGTAAACACTCTAAACGCTATCATTTAGCGGTGTATCGTGAACTAGGGCAGCGTGGCGTAACCATCTTCCCTAGCTATGGCGAGTAGGTGCTAACAGGTGTATGTCAATATCATAACATCTAATAGCATTCGGAAATATGCACGTCTGTCATCAAACCAGTGGACTTTCCTAAGGTTTTTGGCCGACAAAACAAATAACATACGAGTGTAATTTCCCAAATAACAATAATTGTATGTTAATGTAACTCATGTACCTGTTTATGCGGGTTTTTCACCAACTCGACACGAGGAACTGATCACACGTGTGTCCAGTTGGTGAAACTTTAAATTAGCACTAATTATTCTTTCGTCATTTGGACACGGCAAGGTTTTTATGTATGTCCACATAGTGAAAATCAAATTAAGTTACTTTTGTGTTTTCGTCAACTGGACACACGTTCACATTTTACCCGAATGTATAACAAAGTACAGTCACGCAGATAATATTTTTGAATCACAATCATCGTTGTCCTCTAAACGTCCCACCTAGTAATTTCACCGGGTAATTTTGTAATTATTCACCATTTGTGAATTTGTAAAAAATATATTTTTGACACCGAAAGTGTTTTTTTTTTTTTTGAAAGTCGCTATTACCATGTTACGAGTACTATGCTTGTCAAATCTTCAACATGGAACCTGTTTTATTACAGTCTTTGAGTCTAACTCTAATATAAATATTTGATTGTTACTCATTTGTTTTATTTCAAAATTTGTCTTAAAAACGAAACAATTTTTAACTTAACTGTACCTTTTTTAGAAAAAAAAAATAGGTGTGTCCAGTTGACGATAACATAAAAGTAATTAATTTTAATTTTCACTATGTGGACATACATAAAAACCTTGGCGTGTCCAAATGACGAAAGAATAATTAGTGCTAATTTAAAGTTTCACCAACTGGACACACGTGTGATCAGTTCCTCGTGTCGAGTTGGTGAAAAACCCATATCGAGGTATTCAGTCAATAATATTATTATTGTAAATATGGGGAAATCTTTTTTAGTTTTATTGGTTAACACCCAGACCAGGAAACCCGATCGTTTTTCTAGTAACAAACACGTCTAGTGTCAACGATTAGGTTGTATCGCAGTATGTGGAACAGGATTCAAGCGTTTATGTTTCTTTCCTTGATCTGAGCCGCGCATTCGACACAATTAATCACAACTTGCTATGGAGGAAACTAGGTAGATTTAAAGTGGAACCTGGAGTTGTTGGACTGATTAAATACTGGTACTCTAATCACTTGGCACTTGCACAAACAGTATCATCAAGGGGTTATACAACCGATTGTATGCCACACGTTTGTATATAAAAAATGGATGCAGATTGCAGCGTAATGCTGTTCATGTTACTAAGGTTGTTATTGTGTATAGTAACATTAAGAGATGATATTTTTCATTCTGTTAATTCTTTTTAGTTTATGATTAATGTTTTTTTTAGATAATATAAGTATGTCCTGTTTTTTTGTCCTAGTAGTTTAAGATATGCAGCGTACAATTCCGAAATAAACAATATATTATTATTATTTACTTTTAGAAATACTTTTTATATTATTAGTAAAATTTGGCGTTAAATAAAAACGATGGTAAAAATTATAATAATACCTGATAACTAGGACTAAGAAGTTCCATAATCACCTATGTATGTACGTATCTATGTCTATAACTATGTGTGCATGTAAACATGTGCGTGTTTGCATACTATGCAAGCTTCCCATGACCTTTTGACTGTCACGAACATTCATGACTTCAATACAGCTTTCAAAACTTTCCAAATACCATTGCTTACATTGGCATTTAGTACTTTCCGACATTTTTTATTTCTCCCAACTTTTTTTTTATGGCATAAGCCTGTAAACGAGCAGACGGATCACCTGATGGTAAGCAATCGGCGTCGCCCATGGACACCTGGAACACCAGAAGCGTTACAAGTGCGTTACCGGCCTTTTGGAGACTAGGAGTTTGAGGATCGTTGGGGATTCAGGGATTGGGGAAGGGGAGGGTAACTTATCTGAGGAGTTCAAAAATATCCATCTATCATAAAATATTCTCCTCTCTGCTCTAAGCATATAAGCTTAGCAACTATCACACTATCATTGACGAACATCAACTAGGGAGCGACTTGGTGATCAGACATAAGATCATACTCTGGCTTGGCCTTTTTCTTATTAGTCGTTCTCTTTATTATTGAAGATCGTGTCTAGTCTATAGTGCACGCGTCACTGCACTTGATGTACGACCTCCAAGCGCCCCAGTCCTCTATAACCTTTTAAGCTTGTGGAGCCGCCAGACCTGTGAGGTTTTTACAACATTCAGTCAATGGGTGAAAGGACGACCGCGAGGTCTTATCCCGTTAACCTCACCAGCCATTACCAGCTTCTCCAGATTTCGAAGTTTTTGCGTGTAATGTGGCCAAAATAAGTAGAATTACCACGAGACTTACGCTTGAATTCCTATCTCCTTGAGACGTGAAGACTGACTTGGTTATCAACCTTAATTTTCAAACCGTAAGAATCTCATTTCACGGCTGTATATCGATACGCGCTCTAAGATGAAATTATATGCCTAAGTACACACAGTGTGTAAAGAAACATGTCATCGGCGCTATGATTAGCATGGCTTGAGGCCTCTCATATATCTTAGCTTACTCATACTAAGAATTATTTTACTTAAGTGTCGTCTAATACTTATGTAGTGTATTGCCTCATCATTATTATTTATAGATCTTAATGTTATTTATGCTTATGTGTACTGTTTCAGGCACTATTTAATAATTATTGTTTTCTTTTTCGGAATCTGTTGTTCGAAGTAGTAGCAACTAGCGAAGTTTACACACAAACGAAAATGATGACTAATATACGTTTGTATGCCGCGGAGAACCTATCGGGTTACCGGGGCACCGGCTTGAAGTGCGGGAGTAGGAACGGGGTGGTTTTTAGTCAATAAGAGTCTGACACTCCCTCTCGCCTCACCCGGGCGGGAGAAGACATTCGATAATTTCCTCCCTTAAAAACAATATACCTTTGTATAAGTTAAGTCATACATATTCCTGCATACCTTCCTAATAAACTAATGTTGTATTTAGCTAATAAAAGCTATCGACAGGTCTTAAAATGTTCGACTTCCACATACTGTTTACCGCAATAAAAAAAAAAGACAGACACTCTGAAAACGCGGCCATATAATAGAAAGCATATCGAATGTTTACATATTAATATTTAATGTATAACTTACACGCAATACTTTTTTCATTGTTACATTACTTGTACAGACAGCTTGTCTTTTAGCTTTTGTTGACACTGGAAGTACAATAGCAGTACTCAGCAGTAGTATGTAGTTAGTTATGGTCGCCGTTGGAACTCAACTAAAGCAACTTGATTAGAACTTAGATTTGAAACTAAGATTCTTAGTAATTCGTCTGAAATAGTACTTACTAAGTACTTGCTATTGTATTATGCTCGCTCTTCATCACGTCGGACTAATAATACAAGCATAGCATAAAATACAAACACCACAATCTATCGCAACCTTTATGTTTCTTTAGTAGAATTTCAACTAAAGATAACGTTTTATTCACTTATTTATTTATTTATTTATTTATATATACTTTATTGCACACACAGAAAAAAAAAAAAAAAATTTGTAAACATTGCAACAGTAATTAAAGTACAATGGGCGGTCTTATCACACGCGGCGATTTCTTCCAGACAACCTTTGGATGGAATTTTAGAAAAGAATCTGGGAATGGGTGGTAGATGCACAATAAAAATAAATCAAAATAGAAGGAAAGCAATAAAAAAAAAACAAATTAAACAATCAATGAACCTTACAGACTACATATAATACATAAAAATAAAAATGGCAATACTATTTAATAAATATATATTTAAATGTAATGATAACTATATATAGTTGCGTGTATGTGTGTGTGTGTGTGTGTGTGGTGTGTGTGTGTGTGTGTATATGTGATGTGTTTATCCATAATGAAAGGACAAAACCATAACTACAGTGACAGGTAGTGTTCCTTCACACGTCCTTTAAACTGACCCAGATTTGAGCACGTCGCACTTCCACCGGCACGCATTCCACAACCGAGCCGCTTGAATTGTGAAGGACTTGTCATAAAAGCAAGTGGAGTGCTTACAAATGCTGAGCTTAAGATTTTCCGATGATCTCAGGAACTTCGAATGTGTGACACCCAGGAACTGAAAACGTTCCTTTAAATAGAAAGGGGCAGCAGGATTAAAAAACATTAAAAGTAACGAAAGGATATGAGCGTTCCGGCGAAGGCGGATAGGCAGCCATTTGAGCTTACTACGAAATTCAGAAACATGATCATACTTGCGCAAACCAAATATAAATCTGATAGAAAGGTTTTGAAGGCGCTCAAGCTTATCCAATTGTTCTTGGGTGAGATCTAGATAGCTGACATCAGCATAGTCGAGTATTGGAAGAAGAAGAGACTGTGCAAGTGCAATTTTGGTTTTAGTGATACATATACTGAGAAAAGCTCTATTAGTTTCGAGTCACAGAGGGATTCTTCCTCATGCATGAGCAGCGTGCGCGGTCGCGACGATATTTCTAGTACATTTACGTGAGTGACTCATAATTTTTAGTTAATTCAGCTTATCTCAGGATAGTAATTATAAAACCTTAATTCTTTTCCAACAAAGTCGAAAATCTATTGAAGAACATTGACAGTATAAGATTTGGTACAATGAGGTTGACATATCCATGTAGATAAAAACTCCTTGCTAAACAAAGATTTAAAAAAATACACGATACGTTGAATTACGAACATTTTTTAGACAGGTAGAAAGTCACATTCCCCGAACAATTCATTCTGAACAATACTATACGAACAAACAAAACAGTGAACATTTATTGTCTGTTCAACTACTTACAAATTATTTATTGTTTATCAACATAGAATTGTGATTAACACAATTCTTATCAACATAGAATTGTGTTAATCACAATTCTATGTTGATAAACACAATTCTATGTTAATAAGGTGATAATGCAATTGTAGAACTGCCCTCGTGTAGCTGCCCAGTTGCTGGGTGTCAAATCACAATATTAGATAATTCAACTCTCGACCTTGTTTGTACGATAACAGAGTTCAAACTGATTTCGTTCCGGGCCACTACATTAATAATAATTATTATTATTATAAATCGCACTGAATCTTATTATTGGCTAGGATTTGATTGAGAATTCGCTATACATGAACGTAATTTAGAAAATATGTACTATAATTACTAACGTCATAAACAATCAGTTCCGTTCTATAACTTCAAAATTCATTTGATTTTGGACTAAGAAAAAGTTCCTACAAAAAAAACATACAGAGGAATTGAGAACCTCCTCCCTTTTGGGAATTCGGTTAAAAAATACTGTAAATGAAAATTTCTTGGTCAATGCAAAAGCACTTTGCTAATGAATATGAGACCCAATACGAGTTTAAAGTGGTAGAGCTTTTCTTCAATAATATACGCCTCGCCAATCAACACGTCGCGTCAAAAAAGTATAAGTAAATTAACAAGAAATATGAATAATTTCACGCGAACGAAGTCGCGGGTAACAGCTACTAAATACTTAAATAAAGGACTAACATATGACTATACCACATTATAGTATAATAAGTAAATAAAACATAGACTACCTTGAGAAGAAATTGTAGGTAAATTAGTTATATTATTCGATTTACTAGGTACTCAATTACTCATTGATAGAGCCTAGCAGCAGTTGTAGGTAATAACTTGTACCATTGTATTACGGTACTTATACTATACATATACTGTATATATATGTTATATATGTTTATGTTATCTGTGGCAAGCTGTCCACTTTCAATAAGGAAACCTATTTGTTCTTTTTTTTATAAAATATATGAGTGTGTTTCTGACTAGCTTTTTTAATTCACACGATAATTATAATTATTGCATTATATATTGAGAATATATAACAATATACAATAATGTACGTATTTTCCTTTTGAGATAAACATATAATACCAAGTAATGCTACAAAAGTCATGCCAATTCTATTTCTATGACAAATTGTTTAGGTAGGAAAAAGTTTAATTTTTTCGTGGTGGCCAAGAAGTTTAAGACGCCCGGTTGAGGCATGCATGAGGGTGCGAGTTCGACTTTTTCCTAGTTATATGTACTTTTAAGATTATCTAGACACCACTAACAAACGGTGAAGGAAAACATCGTGAGGAAACCTGGGCTTATAATTTCTAATTATTATAAGTTTGTAATCGCACACCGCATTGAGCGAGCGTGGTGATTAATGCTCAAACCTCCATGTGAGAAGAGGCTTTGCTCAGCAGTGGGCATTTATAGGCTGTTCATGATTTTTTTTCTACTCTTACATTATATATATTATTAAAAACCTGAAGAGTTTGTTTATTTGCTTGTTTGATTTTTTTTTTTTTTTTGTGTAGCTCGTTTCATCTACAGGCTATAAAACATCATGTTATTTAACATATAAAACTGGTTACTAAATAACGAATAACTATGCAATTCTGTTATCCGTTGCACGTGCAAACTAATGCTAGTTTAAAGCACTCGTAGTTATTTTTATCAACTTTCTTTGCATTTTTATCAGTTGATTTTTGTAGTTTTATTTGTTACGACTTGACGCTTTAAAGCAAATGGTACGATCGTGAACAGTTACACTTTGTTTTTATATTTCTGCAATGATTGAATTAGTTCGGTCTGTGTTTATGTAAGGTCCTCCTGAAACTTAATATTTTCTTATAAATAAAGCCTCACCAATTGAGAATCAATTGCACATTTATGTATTGAAAAACAACTATGTAGTAAAGTCTTGTTCTACGATCTACGTATCTATCGCTTACGAAATAAAGACGAATGTAGAGTGAAACTGTACCAATTTGAGTGTTGATTGAGAGCCAGACTGTCGAAAGTCCGTTAAACACACATATAATAATATCATAACAAGATATACTAATCAACTTCCAGAAGTCAGCACCTACTTAGCGCTTGTACGTAAAGCAAACAAAACGTAACGGTGTCAATGACCTAATGACGGATGCGTACGCGCGTGTCACGGGCTCACGGGGCGCTGACGGATGAAGACCGGTGCGTTTGTCCGCGAACTAATTATAGTGCAGGGTTTGTAGGGCTCCGAAGATTGATGCCACCAGGTGGGCAGTGGGATTAGAATAGACAACAACTGACAAGCCTGACATGTTCTTTTTATATTCGCGAATTGACTCATAACAGGGCAAAGGCCTGTCACACAGAGATGAATGAACGGACATTCCGCACATCAAAGAGATAGTTGTTCCGCCTATCTCTCACTCTGACGTTTATGTGTGTATGATTTGTGTATGTCATATGTTAACTCATGTTTTGCGTGTGGATTCCATGAAATGGCACGTGGAGTGTTAACTTGACCGATATTGAAGGCGATAACGCATGCAGCTGTATAATTAATAACCTACATGATAATATTCCCATACATATTTTATTTTATAGTTATTGTACCTACTAGTGTTGTTTAAAAAGAATTCCAATACAAAAACGGGTGTAGTATGTGACGATTTCCCAGTTTTAGAATCAAGAGCCTACATGAACGACCGTTATAATAATGAAATTTTAATTTATTAATCCATCTCACAAAATAAAACGGACAGACCGACGAACAATTTTGTGTTATGATAAATTCATGGAGATATTAGACTTATATCAAGAACCAAAGACCCGCCCCGGATTCGCACGGGTGCAATAGGCATGTATTATACATACATAAACCTTATAAACCTTCTTTAAAAATTACTCTATCTATTAAAAAAACCGCTCCAAAATCCGTTGCGTAGTTTTAAAGATCTAAGCATACATAGGGCAGACAGACGGCGGATAGCGACTTTGTTTTATACTATGTAATGATGTATACAAAGACTTCACCAAAAAGTTCGAATGCAGAACACAAAACATAAACCCATTAAAGTTTCCATATTAACTACCTACGGAGCCATTAAAACATACATTTGTGATTCACAAAACAGTCGCGAAATCACTGCCTAAGCCCAAAGTTCCCGCGGCTAAATATAGACGAGACTGCAGGACTTATTGAGATTGATGGTAACAGATGGCAAACTGTTTAACATATAAACATATGCTGTACAAAACCAACAATAGGAAACCGACTAACATAATATACATATGATATATGCTTTGTAGATTGTAGATGGTTCACATGATTTTATGCTATCTTGAGATCAGATTGAAAAAAGTTATACTTAAAGTCGAAATCATGTAATGCGAAAGTTCTTATACCACACTAGCAAACCCGGCGAAGTCCGTTTCGCCACCAGATGGCTTCGTTTTATGTAACATTTCGTTTGGTGATTAGTGAATTATCTTTGCTATAAACGGAGCCCGAGACCTTTCCAACGAATGCAAAACCGTGGAAATCGGTCCGTGCGTTCTGGAGTTAAATCGTCAGGAAGTCCGACTTATTTTTATATAGTAGATGTAAGGCTTTATTTTATATCACTTGTGTATTGGTGAACATAATGCAACATGTTCTATATACCTAATTATCCTCTGATATCATCAGTCAACAACTTTCTAATTGCGCCACAAATTCTATCACCTACTTTGCACGCGCTAATCTCATTAAGCTGAAAATAACGTTAATTGTCGCCCACAGCATTAACCAAAGCGGTAAATTGTTATCGCGCGATACAATCTATCTTTAGGACCTTATTCACTTTGATGTCACGGATAAAAAGATTATCTGATGGCCTCAGAGACGAGACTGTCACACACATATCGAAAGCTTAGCCGCGAAAAATCAATACAGACAGTTATTTTCGTATTCATAATATTTTAATAGAAGCCCAATCTGGTAAAATATTTGTATTACGGATATTTTCGACGACTAGCGGGCCAAATAGCAGAATTATCAAATAGACAGCCAAATATCGCGAAATATTTTCGTCTTATCGATGCAGCTATTTAGGAGTCAGTAACCCAAATACATACACACAATAAAATTACCAAAAAATAATTGGAATGGAAAAAAATGCAAGTGGAAAGTTAAAAATACCTAAAATTTTACGTATACCAAAAAAAACCGAAATACGGTTATTAAGTTTTGGTTTGTACAACAGACAAGTTTGTACTATAATATAACTTGGTTATTGACAATAATGAATTATTATTACTGTTACTAAAACATACCTTATTCAAGTTACATATAAGTTTTCTAGCATCCTTGCAGTCAGGCGGGTTCTGTAGGTAATGGAGCCGCCTTTGCACCAGGTCGCTGACGTTGGCTGCCTCCGCCTGCCTCCACTCATTGTACCCGTCCAGCTCTGGTAACGATTGCTGGTCCGAGAGCAGCGACCTGGAAGAAAAGGAATAAATTCTTAACATTAAGAACAGCAGAGCTTAAGAATTAAATTTGTGTGTATGACTGCATTTGTGTCCGATTTCACAAGAGGGTACCCTATCACCATACACTGACCACTATTCTCTAGACTCCGAGAATAGCAGAAAATCGATCCATTTTGCCCAACCCGGAAAACGAAACCAACGAACCTTTTTCTTAGTCGCGCTTGACGACTGGGAGCAACTAGACAATTTACCTTTTAAAGAACTAGAACGCCAGGCAGACTTGAGGAAGCTCGTTTGATGATACGTTATCTCTATTTATTGTATTCAAGTGTGTGTACTATGTGTCATCAAGGACGAACTACTAGACACGGCACTACATCTGTTGTCCTGAGCTAATGTATCACAATCACAACTAGATTTGCGATCGATGTCTCCCAAATTTTAACGCATTTGGTTTAAATGCATCTAAATTTTGGAGTTTGCTTAAACACAATTAAAACATTAGTCGCTAAAGGAATTGATCATAAGGAAAAGAACATGTGGAGACCCACTTGTTGTCATTTGTTTTTGAATCTTAAGTATTTCGACCTAAAGTTGACCTCGGGGCATTGTACTTGGCACTTGAATTTACGATTAACCACTAAAAAGACTGAAGGCCGTTAAACACAAATATAACACGAATTAAAGTTATGCCAGATAAGATTATCCGAAGGAAGAGCTGACAACAATGAATATTTCATCCTATCAACTCGACAATATGCACAAGCGTGCGCTTGTTACGCAGACCTTGACAACATGTGACTCACCAATTTGTTTATACAAATTAAACGATTAATTCCATCTACATTCGGATCAAAATGACCATTTAGACGTCACTGTGTTCAATTTCCCATGTCATAGCTTTCATAGTTAAGGAAACTTTCAATTACTTGCCTATTTTCGTTAATATGAAGTTTAGATTACGTGTAAATGTGTAATCTACATATTGTTCGCTGTAAGATGAAATTTGTTGATTTAATAGGATGACTAAAGTCTTCACATGGTATTTACGCCTATCAATGAATCCACTTTGGTACGTTGGCACTTAAAAAACTGAACACTACGTGAAATCTGGAATCTGATGCCCATATCAGCAGAAATATTGCAGTATTCCGAAACAAGTTATCTATAAAGTTTTTGATAATAGTAATTAATATTTTTGTTAAAGCCTGACACTACCTCCCAAACCACTGCAACTCCTGTAAGCTAGTATCTACAGTAGACCGAAACACTAAAGTCGAAATAAAACAGAAGATATTATTAGAGGAGAAGAAAAAAACGATAAGTCAAAGTCAAAATCATTTATTTCAATTAGGCCAGAATGGCACTTTTGAACGTCAACAAAAACAAAAATTTAAAGTGAATTCCTATGGAGAAGAACGAGCAAGAAACTCCATAGGATTTAATAGGTGAATTATTGCTGGAGATAGAATGAATTTAGCTTAAAGGCACAAAAAGAGACTGCACAACTGGGAGACGCCCAGTCGCCGTAATATTGACTACTGTGGTCATACGACTACTGTGGTGTATTCCACAGTAGTCAATATTACGGCGACTGGGCTGTACTATTTACAGTACAGTATTAGGGATTAAAATCCAAATGCTGAAAGTCTGAACAAATCTTGTTTATAAGTGCATAATCTTCTTTAAAATCCAAGAACAAAGTTCTAGTACCTAGCTATAGTCCATCTGTTTAGGTAATTAACTAAAGGTAAACAAAGAAAACCACGTGACACAGAGATACTTAACCTACTATTACTTCAAATATTTCTCGTGTTTTTAATTTTAACTAAATTCACTTTAAAATCGTTCATTTGTCATACACACACATACAAGTACAAATGCCTAAATCGTACAAGAGCCTAGCCTATGGGTCTATTTCATTATCATGTTTAAATAGAAACTATTCTGAATCTGATGTACGGATTTCTTTCTTGTACGGATATCTGTCTTTGGGCCAAGTTTCTTCAATATATTTGAACACATTAATTACAAACGATGATTAACCTAAACTTAAATAACTTAATAACAAAACAAAGAAACAAGTTAAATTCAACAAAATAGGAACGCGAGCGCAAACGACGAGAGAGCTGTCAATGGCGCCTGATTAACCGACTAAACGTAATACACGCTACTTTCATTGTCGCGCTACATCTTCGTTGTACTCTTTAATTTGACAACATTATTTTGCTTCGTTCTTAAAGAAACGTTTTGGATACCTGGGATTTTAGGCTCTTTATGGTGTCTATTGTAATGAAATATTATATTATTTAATAAATGTTATTAAATTAATATCCTCAAGCAGATATATTTAATATTTATTAAGAAATAAGTGAAAAGGAACAGAAACATAACATTTAATAGAGAAAACTGTCGTAAAAGGGGAAACAGTTTTATTTTCTTATGAAGTATTTTGAATCATGGAAATGTCAACTATAAAGAACTCTTTTTATGGTTTGTTTACAAATAGTTAACTACCTAAACAGACGGAGTATAGGTAGCTACCTACTCATCTTAGCCTATTAGATAAACCGGAAAGTTTAGTATCCAAAGTTTAATATCAAAGAGCAATTAAAGTATGGTTATAATTACAAGTACATATGGAATTAGAAACGAGTTCGGTATACATACTCATTCTCATACTACACATTTGTATCTACAGTGGAACTTTACAACGGGGCCATTAAAAGTTGCCAGCCAACTTTATGCCCGCCACAACTATTAAATGGAAATAAAATATCTGAGGGCATTCCTGTACAACATATTCAATTTATATTTAGTGCAGTTATACAGATGTAAATGGAATGCTCCCGAAACGCTGACAAAAAGAAATTGTTTTTACAATTTTAGTCGTTTTGTGTTATCCGTGCAACATCAGCCTTGAACAGGTGTAAAACTATTACTGCATAAAAGAAACATTTACATCCTTCATTTTATGAAAATAAAACTTATTTGTTACCACCGCTTGTCGGCTAGCGTTTTTACCGATACACCCTGTAGATATGATTAAACATAATTAATGAAATGCTATAATCACCGGACAAAGCTAAAAGACGTCCAAGTGAACTAAGAAGACCTCATTCATGGGGAAGAAGGGAATTCACAATTAAAGTTTTTATAAGGGGTACTGTCTATAACTAGATTACTAGTGGTCGTAAGGTGCTGATGGTGGCCACTAACTTGCTTTAATGGTGTAAAATCCCACACTGTCTAGTCTTTTCCCAAAACCTAGGTGCTTTTTGAGGGATACCCCCGTAAAAACAAGTAGCTAATGATAATTTTAGGACAAACCCTAGTTCAAAATCAGGTATTCATGTTCTATTATTAGTTTCTTTTTTGTTTTTCCATCATAACTCGCAAATATCGACACAAATGTTAGTTAATTTAAATGCTGACCGTTGAATTTATTCAATTCCGAAATAATATCACCAGATAAGCAGTAGACTACAAATTATAGCCGAAAAATTATTGGTACCAATAGGATCTGAGTACGGCGCGGTCGTGTGATCAATATAGTAATTGATTTCAAATGAATCTCATCACTATGCCAATCTTCGTAGAGGTGAGATTTGTTAGATGGGATTATTTATGGTAAGGACAGCGTGTGACTAGGTCCATAATATAACAGCCTATAGATTATATGAATGTACTAGCTTCTGCCAACGGCTTAGTCCGCGTTCATACGGGATCAAAAGCCCATGTGTCATTCAAGACCATAATCTACCGTTATTTCAAATTTCATCCGGCTCCTTCCAGCTGTTTTGACGCAAAAGAGTAACAAACAAATAAACATACAAACTATCGCATTTATAATATTAGTAGGATAACACGAGCATAATTCGAGAACGCGTGTGTAATGAGCAGGTAACATTTTGAAATAATATTACCTACATAATTTTCCAATTATACGTTCCTAATTTAATTAATTAGGAAAAAACATATCCTACTGGTATATTTTAATACTATATTTTATCCTAGACTTTATACCTATCTTGCTGATTATAAAAGAGTAGGTAAAGTTGTTTAATTTTGTAATCGCAACACAAAGGCAAGGAAAAACTGTATTTTATTTCAAGTGTCCTTGTTCTATTGATGATGAATTCCTCAATAGTTAATTTATCGTAAGTAATTCACAGTAATTTAATATTTATTATAAAATTAAAAAAACATAGTTGGCGACAATCCTTACTAATATTATAAATCTGAAAGGGAGTTTGTTTGTTTGTTTGTTTGTTCCACTTTCACGCCGTAACTATTAAACCGATTGCTTTGAATTTTTGCAGACGTATAGTTAGAAGTCCGGATTAAATAATAGGGTACTTTTTAACCCGGAAAAATTTGATATTCCTGAGGAAAAACAAAAGTATTGGTATAGATGGCACTGTGTGTATTAGTATATGTCACATAGGCTACTTTTGTGACGCGAGCGAAGCCGCGGGTAAAAGCTAGTATTAATTATTACAAATAAACTTCTCTATAAATTTATGAACATGTGAATGAGCAGAATACTTGTATAAGTTTGCGCGTGCGCATAAGAGAGAAATTAAGGGTAAAAGCATGTCCGAACCTACATTGCACGTAATTGGTGTATAACCTAAAAAAGAAACACGTTTCGATCACATTTCGACCTCCATTCGACAGCAAATGTTAATAAAGTGACGGATTATTTACTTATACATATATTATATACATCGTCACCTCATTTTTTCCACCACGGTTGTATGACCAGATTTTACTAAAAATCGTAGGTATTTTTAGATAGCAGAGTTAAAAATTACAATTAAAATAAACCCACACAAAATCGAGGTCCAAATGTTCGCAAGATAAAATAATAAAGCCACATTCTTGAACACAACTAATCTAACGAACGATTAGAATTCACAATCTGTGGAGCCGGAGCCGGTTGTAAAATACCTAAAGTTTTTATAACCGTATCAAATATATATGTTGTTACATAACGTTACTATATATATATTATTTTTTCTATATAACATATAACATTTGTAAGGAAAAGTTGAACATGTTTGATATTACATCATAATATATCATCACACCTTTTATTCCGCGAAGGAATAGACAGGCTGATGTGCACATTACATTGAATGAAGCACCCAAATTATTCCAATAATTAAATATTAATTCTATGTAATAAGGACAAGCCTTATACTGGCCACAAAACTCAGACCACGTTACTATGAAGAATTTTCTACTAATTATCAAAAAAACTCAGTAATTCTTTTTATTCGTGAAATCCGAAATCTCTTGCTTATCCGACCAAAGAGATATAGACTTGTATTATTGTAAGAACTTATCTTTAATTAACGTTTTTGTTACAAGACATGTTATGTGAAAAGATAAAAATAATTCTCTAAATATATATGTCGATGCAGATAGCTTTATAATTGACTAGTTTTGTTTACAGCTTCGGTTACGCCAGTACATGTTTTAGAAACATCCAAAACTTTTTACTTCGGGGAAAGACTCTAGGGTCTCATCTATCCCAAAACTCATTAAAATCATGTCTAACAAAACTCGAAACGAATAGAATTAACACAGAGAGAAAATTAAACAGAAACCAACCTTTTCCTTTCACCAATTTGGTCCAATATTGTCTGTATCTTCTCAGCTTTATTATCTTCTTGTATCACCTTAGTGAGCTCGTGGTGTACATAGTACCATAGCTCCTTAGTATTGGAGTATATCCTCCTTCTGAGATTCTCATAATCTTCTGTGGGTCCCTGAACCCCGTCTAGGAACAGGGACCCTGTGTCTATGTCCTTTAGGTTACCATTGAGGCTAGAAAAGAACATAACAGTTAGCAGTTGCAAAACTATTGGAAAGTAGCAATTAAATGATATTTTCCACTAGGTTGATTATTTAATAAAACTATTGGATTGTTTCTAAATACAGATTCCTATGAAGAAGACAATGAAATCTATCAAGAAACTCCAAGGTTATACTTTTTCCAATAAGTTACATTATATCTATCGATTGATCAATGTATCAATACGTCACAACTTAAACAAGGGAAACAGTATTCAGTGACCAATGAAATTAAGGATTTAATATTACAAATTAAAAACACAATACATTAAATATCTTACCTAGAGGACTTCTTTATTTGTGATATGAGATTACTATGTTGTTGCCTCAACGTCTCCAGTTGTGACGACACCTTTTTTAACCTCTCTTGGAATTCTGATGCCTCATCTTGGTTTCCATTGCATCTGAAAGAATCGTTTTTGTAAAATTCTTGTTTCAAACTCTAATGTGGTAGAACAATAAATGTGCGCAATAGCCGTATTTTTAATATTCGCATAGTGTCTGATACTGTACCTCGTAGCTTAAAACATTGTCCTCCTAAACAAACATTGTGACTGTGAGATGACATTTTTAAAAAGTTTTCAAGCATTTTGGTGTTTGTTTTGGTGCACTGTTCTATTTACAAAGATTGCATTTGTAAAATTGGCCTACGCAGTTCAAAAATACAATGATCTATGATCCGTGGAGGCAGTGGCGTGCAGTCCATATAGGCAAATAGGCTTTGCTTGACATAAAATGTACTAACGCGTTTATTAAGATTCAATAATATAATAAAAGTTTGTAAAAAAACGGCTAACATAAATATACATTCACATATACTATACACGGACCGCACGCCTTTGTAAAGCAATGAATGTGCGCCGCACGCACCACGCATGCGCTGCTATTCCTTAAATCTTGGTTGTTGGTTGTGACGTCACAAAAAGTATGCAACGCGCATGCGTGAAGGTCACGTGACTATGGTCACAGCACAGAATAACCATTCATAAACGCAAAAAATTATTACACGATTCAATCTAGCCGGACTTTAAATTTGTGAATCTGCGCCATCTATTGAATTTTTTGTTAAAACTTCTGAATAAATATAATGCGAATTTCTTTTTATAATTATGCATACTAAAAAAATATGTTTCAGGTGTTTTAATTAAATCTTAACATTTTTACGCGTTGTCGCTTTATAGAAACTTTAAACGAGGAGTTGACTTTATTATTTTAAAAGTTAAAAGGAAGTTATCGAAACGTCAAGTTGCCGCTACTCAAAGTTTCAAATTATTATCAACAATGTTTCTTATTGGAAAATAATAATAAGACAATGATGCAATTCCATTTGACTTATGTAAATTAACGTTTTGTTTTTTTATAATTAAACACTGGGTTGTTTAATGTTTTAGCTATAATTTTTTTATAATAAACACTCAATTGACTACGATGGGTAATGACTTTAAAATGTTTTCGGCCATATTGTTTTCATGAGATGTGCGATCGCTTTGTTTATGTTTTCGTTTAAATTATAAGGAATTAGTTTTAAACATAAAGTTGCATAAATATGTGTAGAAGTATTAAAATATATGTGTCGGTTTTTCAAATAGTGTATTTGTTTATCATGTCTAGTATATTATTCGATTGTGAAGTTTGTGTTGATAATAGGTAATTTTTTGTGTTTGTTTAAAGTTAAAAACAGTAAGTTTTCGCAAAAATGTGTCCTATAACGACTAGATTCAGGTAATGACCATAGGCAGAACTCAAGTTACGAGAATTGACCCAAGTCAAAGGTAGGTAATGTAAATATGTAGGTACTATAATGGATCTTTTATATGATGTTCTTGTTTATTGATTGATAATTCTTAAAAATATCAACTTATACCTCGGGTTGTTTTGATTTACATATTAATTTATTATTAATAATTATGTAATGTAATAACAAATGTACCGCTTATACTCGGCTCGGCCACAGCCGGCCGCGCTTGTTGTTGTTTTGTTTGTTGGTAGGTATCTACGTTCTTAAATTCGTAATTATGATTTTAAATAGATTATTTAGCAATTTGATAATTGAATTTGGTTCATCAAATTTATGATTCATTATTAGTATAATAAATAGATGCTTCATTATTTGTAAGTTTTGTTGGCTTATTCGATAGCTGATGAAGTACTTTACAAAAAATACGCGAGATGTCAGTGTATGTAATTTGGCGAAAGAATAAACCACAATATTATTGAACGCACTTTTCAAAATGTATTCTGTACATGTACCTGTCTTGTGGGAGTATGATTGTATGACCAGGGGGAGGGCTTTAATCATACGATATTTAGTTGCCTACCCTGTCTCGAAAATCTGTGCACGCCACTGCGTGGAGGAATATTTTTACTAATACAGTTGATCTAACAGGACAGTGAATTAACAGCTGTACGGAAAAAGGCAAACCAAAAGTAAGACGAAACAATACAAATAAATATAACGGCACACTAGACTAAGAAAGTAAGCTTACCGATCATCTAAGCTGTAATACAAAAAACAGAAAGTTAAATCCAAGAAAGGCTTAATAAAGAAACAATTAAAATTGTATTAAAGAAGCACATGTCTTCTTTTCATTATTCTCTTCATTATTTTGATACCATAAATATACGACGAAACACGGGGATTCTGATAGGATGACGTTTGATAGGAGAGTGGAAGAAGAAGATAAAAAATTTACTCTTAGGACGCTTAGTAACTTAGGATAAGGACGGAAAGGTGATGAATGAATCAAAATTAGGAAATCCACCCAAATGTCATAAATATTCATACATGGCACGATCTAGGTAGTTCCTTAGTGTTGTATATGTAGTAGAGATGTATCGTGAATATTCTCTCTGGCCACGTCAAACATACTAACGATTTCAATAACCAATCTCAATCCAAAATCTTAACATTAAGATCTACTTTTGACATTAGTTCTACGAAGCTACTGTCAAAAATCATATTACAATATGTTTGTAGACGTACCTGAGTGGAGATATAACCAGGTAGGTGACGACGATCCAAACGAAGAGCAAGACAACAGCGGCGCGTTTCCATTTGGCCAGGTACATCATAAAGTAGTCATTGACTGTCGTGGGGCCACTCGAGTAGTGTTTCATTGTCGCGGCGGCATCGTTGCGGCGACTCCTCAATGTTGCCGCATCGTCATTTATCTACGGCGAAGAGAACACACTTTTAGTACTCTACAGGCAGTGCTAAATGCTAAAAATAAAAAGGTACGGTACTGAAATGTTTGCAATGAAAAGATCCGACACCTCTTTGTCAACAGTTTCATCAAAATCATTGAACTTTTAATTGGCTTAAAACCCCCCATTTATCATCTATGTGGACGGCAAGCTAACTAGGTATAGTTATCAAAACCGCCAATTTTTGCCATAAATGTCTATAAAATTGTATAGGATGCCGGAAGGAAACCATTAAAACATTCAAAGAGGACTTTCATAACAAAACCATAGAACCGTTAATAGATTACCGAATACTATCATCATCCTTTTGTACATTTAGAGTTGGTGAGTGGATAGAGTAGTTTAACAAGGGTCATTGTGTCGTTTGTGGATACTTTTTAGCTACTCGTACTATTCATTCTGACTTCTGTGTCCATTCGGACAATAAATCGAAATATCGAACAATACGCACACACTACCCACGGTTTTGCGTACGCACTTAAGAATTGTTACATACTCGACATTCTGAATGCTATCTTGATTATTCCAACGAAGTCAGCTCTACTGCGAAAATAGTCGATGTACCTAACTACCTATAGTTCGTTTTTCCTGCTAAGAACTAAACACTTGATGGATGTATTTACATTGCTATTTGGTATTAACTAGGTTTTTTATAGAATTGGTACTTCAACTAACAGCTTGTAACTTCTAAATACCTTTATGTTATTTACTTACTTTGCAAAAACCTACTATACTTAAGCACTACTTGAAATATGGAACCAATCATACATTACATTTGATAACAAACCAAATAAAACTTCTACAAATCAAAAATAAGATTGACAAAATCCTCACCCATCACCACATGCGTTGTGTTTATTAAGAAAAAGTAAGCAAAGGCACATAATACGACATCTTTTTACCCAATATCCATATGTAACAGAGGAACGAGGCCACTGAAAGTACGGTACATAAAATCGTTGTCACAAAAAATGCAATGTGGAGGAAGATTTCTCCCTTATTGCATTTTCAGACTATTCGCACGTCCGAACGACTGGATGGCATTCACTATTGTGCAAATTCTAGCTAAATTAAACTATGAAATGGTTTAGTTAAGTATGTACATATTACAAACCTTTATTTACTTAGACACTTTTGGCATTGTATTTATCAATCCCTCTCAGGTTGTTAAAGACCAAAAGTCAAAGAAGCTTGACACTCATTTTGACAAGCTAAATAAATTGCCCAGTGGAAGAAACTATATTGCTATTACTCAAAAATCTATCCAAGGTTCACAGTATTGAATTGTATTATTCTATGTATTCCAACATCAATCAATGCAGACAAATATAGCCCTTAACACCACTTTTAATTTTAAGTACTCTTATCGTCCGGCCACTAAAGTTTGTTTATCTGATCATAAAAGTTTTGTAACAATACGATAACCTATTTTCCAACAATGAAACAACAGCACTTGTCCCAATTTATTTAATTATTACTTAAATAATAATAACTGTAATAGTTAGTATATATTATTACATCTAATTAACATTTCCGATAACTGTTCGGTAGTGTAAACTAACAATTTTTCCTTTAATTGAGACATAAAACAAGTAATTACCTACCGCGACTGATGTTTGATAAACATTAAAATATACGACTACACTTACGACCAATATAGTACCTATTATAATAACTGTTTAAGTATAATACGAAATGTGATAGATGGCAACTAAGTAATAATTATACATTAATCGCAATTCTAAGGTCAAAATGATTAAGAAGCTTCTCATAGTTTTATTGGACCGAACAAAAGCATACAGAGCGAGCATCCGCAAGTACCACGCAGCTAAAACGTTGCTTTCAAGCATCTCATTTTCATAAAACTCCGGCGGAATGACATGCATTGAATACACCGGTCTGCGGTGACTCCCTTTCAACTGCGACTGGCATAAAAAGTGCAAACTGCGGTGTACACTTCACTATCTCCCAGTCTGATACGCGTGCATATCGTGGAATCAAACAAAGTAGTTTTCTGTAATATCACGTCGAAACTTTTGGATCAACACAACACTTCTACATTTGACATTTTGTGAAATAATATAAAATATTAGTTAGAAAAATGCATAAGTGCAAGTACTGCAAAACGAATAAAGTTCGGTACTGGAAGATCTCACCTATCTTTCTTTTTTGTATTTCAGTTATTGGATGCGTAATTTTCTTCTAAATTGTCAAGATACGCATTACAACTGTAATTAGAAAAACAGTAGAACCCATTTAAACATTGCTAATCTGAGAGTAAATAATAAAATATTGATTCTCTTTTACCGCGCGAAAACTACACAACAGAGAGGCCTAAGTAAACATTGTCTATTTGCATCCACTTCAGAGAATTCTCCATTATGAGGAGGAAATAATTACTCCTATGATAAACCCGAGCTATACCAACTACATCAACATAATCATGCGCATTACTGACTACACAAATATCTCATTTACAACCGAATTTATCAAATTCCAACTTTATCACCACTCCATAAAGACTTTTAGGGGTGTACGATGAAACTAGTAAAAACGTGATTACGGTCATCAGTCATGAGAGTGGAACATGTCATGCTCGGTGACACAGGAACCGACAACATGTTGAAAGTTAAAAATGATCCGGTGCTCTTATCTGGCATATAATCAAAAAATAAACGTAAATCCGCCATTACGGATAGTTGGGCACAGTATTGGCAACTCTTTTATTTAAACAGACTATAAGACCTATACAGAGGCATAATTTAATGTCAATTAAAAATGTCTACGTTGATCTCACTCCCAGTCCCAATAGGTTTATTATGTTCAGAACTTCAGAAGCATTAAGTATAGAAATAAACTTAAATTAGAATAATACATACGAAACTTAACGTTAATTAAAAACAAACCAACGTCTGGCGCCATTTTTCGTCTGGCAGTCGGAGCTAGGGGAGCGTTATTAGGACTCCTTTCACTAGAACTCAACGTCCACACATGTAAACATAGGTAGGTACTAGCTACCAGCCAGACGGCACTATATTCTCTGAGTCACTTCGTATAACACGCGCGAGGAACGGCAACATAAACTAATTGATAACCAAGACCATACATGTAATAAATTGTTATACAAAACCCTTACAACTACCAAATAGACTTTCCGAGAAAAATGTTTAAGTTTGTCTTCTTTATTGCTACAAAGGGAGTTTACGTTTATTTCGCTTATTCATACGTGTACTGAATATCCTTCACCGAAATCCACTAATCTTAAATCACCCGTATAACTATAAAGTTATAAAAGCGAAACGAGTTTAAAATCCTGCGCATCGCAATTACAGACCATAGAGTTGTGACATTATCTTGTAATACATGTCACCTTGAATTACAGTTTAATTAGAACAATAATGCCGAAACTGTATTTCATCTTACCGTGACTTACTTTTACTGGAGATTGTTAGCAATAAATCTAAAAGCAGAGATGCAGTGTCACGACTCTGGGATTTATCAATCTCATCACAAGTCACAAATCACAATACCTAAATAAACTTTTCCAATACAGGACCTAATTTTTTTAAATCCAAATGGACCACTAACTGTAGACAACACACAGCGTCCATAACAAGTAAATAGCTAATTTTATTAGCGTGCAAGAAGCTTCCGGCGCGGCGGCCGTTAAACCGTTCCGGTAAAACACACGGTTTATAATGAAATACGCGCGCTATTTCCCGCCTAAACAGCCGTTCTAGGCGAATGGGAACGTGGCCTAATTATCACACAGGGCATGAACTACATGTAGTTTAGTCAGCGTACAGGTGCAGATCTAATCGGTCGCGCGACACCTCATTATGGCTGCGGATGACACTCGATTAATGTCTAGTGAGCATATTTTAAATCTAGTCCTTTCCGTACAGAGATTCTAATATTATTTAGTGCTGCAAAAACATTAATTACGAAGTTTTTATTAGTCTTGTCAATTGACCAGTAATAAAATTAAATAACTTATAAAGAATTAGGTATATGGAATGACACCTGCTTGCATAAAACTTACAAAATTTTCCGAGGATCCGAACTGAGTATTGACACACACATAAACATTACATTCTGAGAAGTGCAGGTAACACATAAGTACTGAGAACTGAACTTTTATGTTGATGACAAAATAGAAATGCTATCGTAGGTACATGATAATAAAACTGAACCAGGTAGTTTGTCTGTTCATACGTGCAAATGACAGTGGGAAATTATGGAGTCTTCACTCATCAGAGTCATCGTTCAATAGAAACATGCCGCGGCCGTTGGATAGGATTTCGTAATAAAATAACTACTGAACGGATTTGGTTTTTGCCAGTGGACAGAATGATTCTTGAGAAAGGTTTAAGAGTAGCTCGGGGTAGATATTAGAAGTTGAACCTACCACAGATAAAGCAGCACGCATATTGTCAGAACATAAATTGATATAACTACGTCTTTGATCCACAAGAGGCACTCAGTATTCCACCATTATGAAAATGAATTACGAGTTAATCTCATATCGTAGTGGCATTGAGGCCAGTCAACTGATTTGACGCCTACAATAATGTGTAAACAAAGAGTACGAACAGTGCGGTAGGCGTTATATTGAGTCAATAATGGACCTACCGCTGTTCTATTGCTGTTTACGATCTTAAACGAATCTCGTTAATCATTTGGACAAGTTTAATCAGAAAATTCACAGTATTAGGAGTCTGGGCTTGTATTGTAACTTATTGATGGGAATAAAATAAACTCATCGAAAACTCATCGTAACTTATTGATGGGAATAAAATAAACTCAACGCACCTCAATATTACTGGATTTGGTAATGTTGTCTAAACAAAACCTAGATTAGGTTTTTGTAAGCTTTTTTTTGAGGGGGAATATCATCCAATTCAAGACTTTAT